AAATACAGACGCATTCCTCTTTAGTATTCAAGATAAAGATTTTCTTTTCTTTAAAATATTTCTCAAGGTCACCGTTGTCGTGGTGTTAACATATTATTATAAGACTGCGTTTTCGAAACGATTTTGACTTTTCATCAGCTTCGATTATGATTCGTTGGGTTTTAAATTTGTGAGCATGACTAACTGTTTATGTCATCGACGCTTAAAAAGTCCGTAAAGCATTTACGAAATGAAAATATATGTAGGTAACCCAAATGATCGTAACAAGAATTTACTATTTGAAATATACTATTAAGAGCCATATCGATCGTTATGCTAGTTCATGATGTGCAAATTTTTCGATGTTGGAGATAAAAATTATAAAAATATATTTGAGAAATTCCCTCTCAATAAAATTATTTGCCGCGAAATTTGTCTGCTTTATTTGAACTAGTTGTCCCGGAGTAGTCGAAATTCGATTATAATTAATTGAAATTATATTATAAGTTTGAATATTATTATGGTTCTAATTGCAGATTTCGCCAAAACCACACCATAGACAAATAATAGTAAAGATAAACAATATTAACCTATTCTCAATTTAACCACAGACTTCAAGCAATAACAAAAGTTTGACAATAAACGAAGATTATATAATTATATGCGTATGTGTCAAATACATGGTAGTGTGTGTAATGTTTTTTTTAATTTATTTAAAGTATTATAAATGCATAATTTAAAAAAAATTAGGATTCTGCACTCCTATTGTATATTCGCTATAAGTATGGGAAATTTCATACATCTCCGTCCGCGAAATTTTCGTGAAAAGGGATACAAAGTTTTTGCTTCACGTATTAATATATAGATGACTCTTTCGCCTTGTTATAATATTAGACAGATCGGTACTTAGACAGCCACTACAATAATTCTAAATTTAGATTTACGTGCGCTCTGAGAATCAAATCGATCGCTCTTGTATTTGAAAGCCAAATGCATAATATATTTTTTGAATATATTTTTTTGCTCGGAAATAAATCCATTTGTCTGAATGTCTACTAAAGAAACCAGTTTGTTTTTGTCTGTCACTTTCAACTAAGTGAATAAACATTTGAATGATTAATTTACTGTTAGAGAAAATAAAATTCGTTGCTCACTATTCATTTTATCTCTCTTCTAGTAAAAAATTGAATCCAAATGAGTAGCCGTAAGTAAAAAGAAATTGAATTAATTTCGTTCGTTTTCGTGTATAATATTTTTTACAAAATGAAGGAACCTCAATGAAATATTATATTGTTTTCGGATGTGTTATTTTTCAGAATGGTTGACTGTCTCTTATCAACAATATGTTAAAATTAGAATTTTAGTGATACAAATTAACTAGTAATACCTGAAAATTTCGATTTCGTGTCCATTCCGCTACATATTGTGTGGAGTTTTTGTAAAATAACATAGGTCCAAACAGGAACCTGGTGACAAATACTGTCGACCTTCTCAAGAACACCTTACATAATACAAGGGAGGACATTATAATAAGAATATATAATACTTAAAACTTGTCCGTAATTTATGTGATGTACGATTCTAAAGTCGCATGTTTCAGACAGTATGAAGAAAAATACTGAATTTGTTAAGATTTGATATTTTACTACGGTACCTATAACAGGTACAACATTAAAATTACTGAGTTTATACACCGTAATCTCTAAGCTTTACGGTATAAAATTTTTTTTTTCCCAATCATTGCTTCTTCGTTCAAATAATGAATATAAAAATAACCTGTAAATAACAAAACATTATAAAAACAATACTTTTTTTGGAACAGAGAGTGAGTGAGCAGTAGGTAATTTGTTTTGTTGGCAATACACGTCAAAACAATTCACATTATAATAATTTACTCAATACAGATCCAATTTATAAATAAACTATTACAAATAAACAGGCAGCTAAATGGACGTTCTTTGAATGATCTTTCTTGCGCCATCAAATGAGATTTTCAAATAAGTTTGTCGAATTGTTCGAGATCATCTGATTCTATTTCATTTTTTTACTATCGCCCCGCCCGCAATTTATTTTCTTTTTGTTTACATCGGCTTTCTTATACTGAAGCTATTTTTCTCACATAGCTGTTTAATAAATTCACATTATACATAATTTAACAAAATGTGATTTTGTTTTTTAAATAAAATTGGATATTTTTAATATTTGAAAATCTTAATGTAAATGTTTATAAGAACACAAAAAATATCAAAATAAAAAAGAGTAAATATCCCTCCAAATGGCACGTTACAATGTATATAATACTGGAGGTATAAACCAAGAAGAGTTATATGAGGCAGATGACCGGTCGTAAAACTCATGCCAATTCCCTATGCAGCATGATGAGAGGAAATGCCGCACCGACCACACTTGATGTCGAATAAGGGCAAGAAAAAGAAGAGACATCAATACCAATTTACCACACACAACACACACAACTTAAAAATATGTATAATTAACGATACCGATCAAACTATGAAATCTTTTTATAAAAATCCACTCAGTTCTTTACTATGCGTGGTGAAATACAATAATGCGACAGTAAAACGTGCCCCTCGGCAACTTAAACTATAAAGTCATAGACCTTAGAATATTTCAGAAAGTTTCTTATTTATTTATCCACCTACCTAAATCAAGTGTAATTTAATTTTATAATCTAGGCGGGTGGGTGGGTGTACGACTGAGTTCATAATCCACCGGTGTAAAGTGACTACTGGAGCCCATGGACATCACAACGTGAACAAGGCCACCGACCTTGCGATATGAGGCCGGAGCTTGAATTATCTTATTTGAAGACTGTTCCATCTTTAAAATCGGAACGCAGACTGATTCGTGGCAGAAATAGGTCGGTTAGTGGTACCTCTCCCTGCAAGCTGACAAAACGCTACTCTATGACTATAATTTACGTATTATAGTTTTTGATTTGCGAGTTTTGATTTTTACTATACATGAGACCTTAGAACTTGTATCTCAAGGTGGGTGGCGCATTTACGTTGTGGATGTCTAACGAGGTGTCCGCGCCTAGGGGGCACGCGGGGTATGTGGGACTTGATGATCTACAGATGTTGAGACCACGGGCCCAAGGATATTTTTATGACCCTACCGCACCAAACGACTAGATAGAACCCGGTCAGAAGGGGGGGGGGGGGGGGGGTCCGCGGTCAACACTAAATCAAGACTCGCGGCGCCACCCCAAGGACGCCCGTCTGTCAACAACCAACGACGCTGATCTCCGCGATCGTCTTATCCCTTAGGCCACTTCAAAAACGTCTTATCCAAAAGAGAGAAGCCTTATCAAGATTCCTATATATAAAATACAAAGAAGCTCGCTTCTAAACTTTACTCAATTCTACATGACAATTATGAGTTCCACTCCCCTTCCGCTTTTACGACCATCGTTTCGCACCCTTTTTCCATATAAAATTACAGAGAGTATCGTGACCATTGAAAGTAGGTGTTATGCGCCCCAAAAACTTGTTTCCAGGTAACAATCGATTATATTTACGAAAGTTTTTCGACAGTAAAACGGTCCAATAAACAATGCAACTGAATAAGCAGAATAACTACTTATAAATCGCAAACTCGTATCAGTGTCATGTATAACATTCAGAAAATTTAGCTCTGTAACGGAATTTTAGGGACCGTACACAATTGGTTCGAGGGTAACGTAATATAACATATCCGCTATCATTATAACACAGATTAATTTCCAATAAATGATCCAGGGGATATAATAAAGCACGAGAAAAATCTAGAAAATACCAATCATGCAAATCGCTAGTGACAATTAATTAAAATGTTTGTGAAAAACATTTGTTATTCGGTGTCTAAATGTTCTTATCTCGTATGTGTTTACGCCACTCATTACATAATAGAAAGAATAGAACAACTTCTTACAGAATTAAATTCCTGTCATAGATTTATGAAACACTACTACCTAATGTAGATACTATTGTTAATATAAAAAAAAACATTTGTGCAATTCACACGTGGTAGAAGTGAAACCTTCCAAAATTAAAATACAATTATCCTAAACGTCTTAAGTATATGTAAAATTTTGTCATTAGTAAATAATTGTAAGGTAGCGCCCTCTGTGAATTGATATTTTAATTTCACGTATAATCCTAAATTAAAATTCATTACAAGAGCTTTCATACACACGTTAGTATTAAAAAATCTCACAGATGGCGCTGTATTAAATAGTATGTATATTTCTGTCTCATTCTTTGCTGGCTTCATCCTACACATTTTTGTATTTGTGTCTCTTACCTGTCGTTTTTTCCGTTGCATCCGGTTTGAAATCACAACGATTCTAAAGAAGTTTTCACTTCAAAAACAGTGATTTTATTAATTAAATTATTTTACTCGTAGCCAGACCACTCGATGCCATTCAAAAGGCCACAGATATTACAAAAGTCACTTAGAAAGTTAAAAAAATATGCATTGGCGCGTCATACATCAACAAGCACAACAAATATCTTTCTATAAAGTAATGAACAATAAGTGATTTTTTACTGGTGGTAGGACCTCTTGTGAGTCCGCGCGGGTAGGCACCACCACCCCGCCTATTTCTGCCGTGAAGCAGTAATGCGTTTCGGTTTGAAGGGTAGGCCAGCCGTTGTAACTATACTTGAGACCTTAGAACTTATATCTCAAGGTGGGTGGCGCATTTACGTCGTACGAGCTCGTCCACGCATATAAGCAATAAAAAAAAAACATGCATTATTTCAAGCCTTGAAAAATAGCGCAATATATTTGAACGATTACACCTAAGCTCAAATCTTAGAGCTATGAAATGTTAGTACTGATTTACTTACTTTACATTTGTAAGAGATTGCTTCCAATACAAAGTAAATCAGCATCCGGAACTTCAATGTGAACGCTTCTTTACATGAAATTTGTACCTACATGTGGTGTCGGTGGGGGCCGTGCCATACCGTGCCAGCTCCATCGTACGCCACGATAAAGGTTTCAACTATGACACGAGCCTCTAGCGTCAAAACTAGTAAAACTTTACGGCGACGACAGCCCGTCTAGACCTCGTCTTGTTGTTTCCAACGATCGCTTAACGAGCTGTGTTTCAAGACGGGGTCGATTAAACATTCTAATACTTCTTCGCGGCAGTGGTGAGTCTTTCGAGGTCCCTTTCAATATATACACACAATGTTGACGCAGACTAGTATTTAATATATATTTATATAAAATAAATTTATAAAACTCCGCCATTAAGATAAAAATATCACAAATTTTAGAACTTCTAACCTTTTTTTTGGGCAATATTGTTCTTTGTTTTTTTGTTAAATTTTCGTTACATTTATTACGTTACATACCTAACAATTGTTATTGTCTCAAATAATTGTTTACATTGTCAGTCTTAAATAACCAAAACTATTAACACGATTCATTAATGCGAAGTCGAATTAGAATCAGATTAACTTCGGACTTGCATCAAAATCGTGATGTTAAATTTATAACTCTACTTTTTATTGCTATCAAAGACGGATAAGCAATCTAATTGAGGGGATCATCGTTGCTCATAGATATCCTCACAGGCAAGCCGCTACCTATCGCTGTGGACAAGTTTTTTATACCGCGTTTAAATTTTTCACTTCACAAGTTACGAAGTTTCCAATATTTTTCATTTGTAGTGGTCATGTTCAAATCAGTACTCTCGAATTAATCAAATTACTCAATTTAATTTTTTGATTAATACAATTAATCAAAAAACTATTAAAATCTTTAAAGTTTTTTGTTTTTGACTTGGATTTGATTTATAAAGATAAGATATATAAAGTTGTATATTCTTCGGTTTTCGTGAGTTCGAGACACAATTAATACCATTTTTGCGATTTTACCTCAACTTCTTCCGTAAAAATTTACATTAAATAATTAAGCCATTTATTTAGCTTTGATTTTGTTCGCTTTAGTATAAATTTGTTCAGCTTAAATTTTGCCCCCCTTAATATAATAGTCTTTCACCTAAATGCTGACGATCACAATTGTAAAAAAATGTTGAAATCGCTGAACTCTATACCGGTTATCTGTACTAAATTATTACCACTAATAGGCATATAAGACGCCTTTTTTGTCGTCAATTATCTTTTGTCGGAATGTCATACTTTTAACACGTGCATATCATCTGTGAGAGGTCACTGGTTCAACTAGGCGCGTATCGGTTATAATTTAAAAAGGTCATCGTCACGTGAGTTGTGCTAACGCGTGTATTTACCATTACGATTACAACATAAATTAGACACTATTTTTTTTTATTGCCCTTGTAGGCAGACGAGCATACGGCCCACCTGATGGTGAGTGGTTACCGTTGCCCATGGACTTCAGCAATGCCAGGGGCAGAGCCAAGCCGCCGCCTACCTACTAATTAGACCATCTCAGCGTGAGATGTACAGAATAATAATTAAACTTAAGAACGAAACGTATAATGATAATAAAAAAATATAAATGGTATAGATATAAGTCGACGTGGCCTAAAGGATAAGACTTCCGGTGCATTAGTATCTAGCGATGCACCGGTGTTCGAATCTCGCAGGCGGGTACCAATTTTTCTAATGAAATACGTACTTCACAAACGTTCACGATTGACTTCCACGGTGAAGGAATAACATGGTGTGATAAAAATCAAACCCACAAAATTATAATTAGCGTAATTACTGGTGGTAGGACCTCTTGTGAGTCCGCACAGGCAGGTATCACCACCCCGCCTATTTTTGCCGTGAAGCAGTATGCATTTCGGTTTGAAGGGTGAGGTACCCATTGTAACTATACTGAGACCTTAGAACTTATATCTCAAGGTAGGTGGCACATTTACGTTGTAGATGTCTATGGACTCCAGTAACCACTTAAAAACAAGTGGGCTGTGAGCTCCTCTACCCATCTATGCAATAAAAAAAAGATAAAGAACGAATTAATAAAAATACTATATTAATAAACTTTTGATCACTGAACATCAATTGTGAAGTCCTAATAACGTGTGGCACGAGTCAGTGGCTCCGAAGTTACTGCTTCTACGGCGAAACGATGATGACGTACTCTCGCCGGATCTTCTCAGTGGGTCGCGATTCCGATCCGGTAGTAGATTCATTCGCAAAGCAGCTGCTCTTGAGTTGTTAGGTCTCCATTGGAGGCGCTCGGTTAGCTGCTAGTAAATTCCACCCCTCCTGGCTGAGCCCTTGCTCGCCCACATGCCCTGGTAAAACTGGAAAGGCCTCCGGGCCACCAGTAATCTCTCAAACATAAAAATAAAGATGATGACGTTTTTTGGTTTTAAAGTAAGGAAGGCCGATCCTCTAATGAAAGCGTGAGTTTAAATACATTACTCAACGTGGACGGGAGTGACAATATGCGCGTCTTATACTGTATTTAAAAATTATTACCTAATAAAATTTATTTTGGTTTTTAGCTTTGCCCACCCGCACGTCCGTGCGCGGCTGGAGAAGCACATGGGATCAAACCTGGTGCGGCTCACGGACAAGAACTACATGACCGAATTGGAAGAAAGAATTAGAGCTGTCAACGAAGAAAATTTGAACAAAAGAATCTCTAGCAGAGTGGTGAGCGAAAAATGAAAAGCTATTTTCGTATTACTGATGCAGTTGCGAAACATCTGAATGTACAAAAAATCTACTTTATGCTACAAATAACTTGAGCTGCTAAGTCTCCTTCGGAGGCTCTCGGTTAATAAATCCCAATCGTCCCAGCTGAGCCGGGAGGATTGGGATTCACCTCTCCTGGTGAAACTGAAAAGGCCTCCAGACCACCCAGATTCATTACTTCCCATAAAAAAATATGGTTGATGAGGCCTCTTATTATTTAGCTACAATTATTATCAGACGATGAATAAATAATATTTTTGTTTTAACAGCTTGATGAGATGGAAAGACTGAAAAGATTGATCCTTGTTGGAAAAACCCCGCTAAAGGAGTGTCCTCCTGAACTTTTCCACCACCCAGTATTTGTGTTCTGGAGAATGGTTAACAGGGAAGTTGCAAGAGCATCAAAAAAACGTGCCGATGCCTATTACAGGAAACTGAAAGCTTCCCAGAAATTCGATCAAGTAAGTTTACATAGATCCAAACTAATTCATATCGAGCCCCTAAAATACCCTTTTCTATATATTATTATGCTTTAGTTTACCTATATAGCGCATTGTGTTAATTAATAAACAATCAAAATTCACTGTCTAATTGTATTCCCAAATTATCATATGTAAAAGTATCGTATGTTTAATTACTGTTAAATGTTTAATTAATGTTATGTTCTCTAAAAAGACTTAAGTTTCAAGGATTATCATTCTGTATCCTCAGTCGATGGATGAGGAAGATGCCGGCGAGGAAGCTGAAGAGGAATGTGAACAAATGACTGCCGAACAGCTACTGGCTAAATGTCGTGAAGAAATAGAAGAACAAAAACAGTTAGACATAGAAAAGGGCGTACGATTTACTGACGAACAATTCGCACTCATGAAATATGAAACTAACGACGTTAAGACATTGAAAAATTTAACGGTATGTAAATTGGTTTTGTTTTGCGTCCAAGAATTCTGATGAGACTATTTGAAACAAAGAGTGCAAGAATCACTCATTGTACTTTCCTGGCTGAACCCTTACTCGCCCACCTGCCCTCGTGAAACTGAAAAGGCCACCGGGCCAAATGTAATTCCTCAATCAATAAAAAAAACTCTTTCTACTAAAATAATTCATACCGTTTTAATAACTGCCAATAAATTTGACTATCGTAATTTGTCGTAAATCATACTAACATATATATTGTTGACTGAAAACTTGGATCCTAATTTAATGTTTTTAAATTAATATTATAAATCAACGATCAGACCATCAAAAATTCGATAGAAAACCTGTTAAAATATGTACTTGTTTTCCTGATGTCTAGTCTGCGATAAACCATTTTATTTTAAAATTTATGATGATTTGAAATGAACCAAATAAAACTGGTAACAAACTTGTTTCAAAATTTAAACAATAGGTCTTAAAATTTGTGTTAAAGTAATTATCCTTTTTGTGAATATACGAATTAGTATAATTTTTATATTGATACCTGAAACAATGAATACACAGAATATTTTTTTATGATTGGCAAAACTTCATATAGGTTTATTTTCTTTTTTTATTGCCTTTAAAGTTGCCTTGACTTTATAAAATTATATTTTTCGGATGATAGCTTTAAATCGGCTTTATTTATAAATACCAGTATGAGATAATAACACGAGGATTCCACGAGTCACAGACATCAATAAAAACGCTTAGACAGTTTTATCTGTTGTTTATTTTAGTAATTTTATAATAAAAATGTTGCTTTGGATAGATATAATAATATGTCCGGCCAATTGGTACTAACCGATCAACGGAGATCTTCCCTAACTTCAATACCGACGCTCGCCAACAAATTTGAGGCGTTTTTTTATTTTTATTTTATTGCTTAGATGGATGGACGAGCTCACAGCCCACCTGGTGTTAAGTGGTTACTGGAGCCCATAGACATCTACCGCGTAAATGCGCCACCCAGCTCGAGATACAAGTTCTAAGGTCTCAAGTATAGCTACAACGGCTACCCCACCCTTCGAACCGAAACGCATTGCTGCTTCGCGGCGGAAATAGGCGGGGTGGTGGTACCTACCCGTGCGGACTCTCAAGAGGTCCTACCACCAGTGATTACGCAAATTATAATTTTGCGGGTTTCATTTTTATTACACGATGTTATTCCTTCACCGTGGAAGCCAATCGTGAACAATTTGTTGAGTACGTATTTCATTAGAAAAATTGGTACCCGCCTGCGGGATTCGAACACCGGTGCATCGCTACATACGAATGCACCGGACGTCTTATCCTTTAGGCCACGACGATTTCAAAAGACGTGAGTCTATATTGCAATAAAATGACCACTATGGTACTTGGTACTCAATACTCAAATTGGAGCGCAATAATTTGAGAGCTGACACGGCTTATACAATTCGACTGAGTCTTTGACTTCATGTCTGGTGACGGAAGGTGCCGACATGCACATTGTGTTACCTATGGGATCCGGTTCACTAAATGGTGAGTAATTACTGACGCTCACGAACGTCAGCAACATTAAACACAACTAAACAGCCCTCTACTGCTCGAGGTTTGAACGAGAACGTATCATAGCGCTCGAGAAACACTGTGGAGGGGAGTTTCTCGCCGGATCTTCTCTGTGGGTCCCGTTACCGATCTGATGGTAGATTCTGCGAAGCATTACTCTTGCTAGAGCCGGTATTAGCAACACTTCCGATTTGAGCCCCGTGAGCTCATCTACTAACCCGCTGAATCTAGAATAATCCCTCGAAGTTAGTAGAATAAAAAAAATTTGAGGAAAAAGGCGGATGAAACGTGTTAAAAATAATCTATGGGAACAAACACACTGAAGATGAACACAATAATTCAAAATGGGTCGTCGTACCCCCTGACGGGGGCACGGAACGGGTCTCGGGGCAAACCGGGCAATTGTTGTACATAATGTGAATGAGCTTTGCTCTGGTGGCGGGCGGTGAAACGGTAAAAAAAACATAACTAATTTGTTAAGTGAAGTCCTGCAACATTTATATCAAGCAGGTGATATAACAACCGTGAGCCAAATGAAACAACAACCTAGAGTCCGCTCAAATCTAATACGTGACTTCGAAACTTCTGTATGTTTAAATTCAACATCTAAAAACGAAATTTTAATATTGACTGTATGTATAAGAATAGTGTCATTGTTTGAAACTAGTGACCTTTATCAGTGTTTTGATAAATAATGCACCCAGACTGATCTGAGACACATTTGATACAAAACGTGTATTCATAATGTAACATAACATTGCTCAGAGAGAACCAGTTATAACTAGACAAATGTTGATGATAACAATGACCCGTTGTCCATTGAATCTAGTCAAACACAAAATAGGTACGTGATAGATATAACATTAAAATTAATTGGACAAAGTTTGTTTTAAACTTTTGTAATCTGAAGGTTGCGTGTGTTCATATTATTGTCATTTCGGTGTGACCTTATTGTTATCGTCTCCCTACAGCAAAGGACAGACCTTCCACCAAACTAATTAATGCTTTTGCCCTAAACGACGGTCCCGTGTTATAGTTAAATATGTCATACCACATTTTTTATTATTATTACTATCACAGGCGGCCAGTTCACCCTGATAAAGGACTCATATAGCAAATGATAAATGTAATTCGTTTTAAACACATTCATTTTAAAACCTACCAAATTTTATACTACCACATATTACATATCTAAAGTCATTAAGGACTTGAAAATAAAGTAGTAGTATCTTTCTATGCAACTTTCAAATATCTCCCCAAAAATTCAGCGATTATTATAGTTCTTTCTATTTGTATTTTAACCCATAAGATATTTATTCACATGATACGTCAATAAACATAACAAACCTGTGGCATGCCAACTGCTAACATGTTGTGGCGCGAACATAGAGTTCTCCTTTTTTATTATAGCTTAGATGACTAGACGAGCTCACGGCCCACCTGATGTTAAGTGGTAACCGGAGCCCATAGACATCTACAACGTAAATGTCGCCACCCACCTTGAGATATGAGTTTTATGGTCTCAGTATAATTACAACGGTTTCTCCAACCCTTCAAACCGAAACGCATTACTGTTTCACGGCAGAAATAGTTTGGGTGGTGGTACCTACCCGTGCGGACTCACAAGATAACCAGTAATTACGCAAATTATAATTTTGCGGTTTTGATTTTTATAACACGATGTTATTCCTTCACCGTGGAAGTCAATCGTGAACATTTGTTAAGTACCTATTTCATTAGAAAAATTTGTATCCAACTGCGGGATTTGAACACCGTTGCATCGCTCGACACGAATGCATCGGGCGTGTTATCCTTTAGGCCACGACGACTTCAAACATACATTTAAGTTTAATTTTTAAGTCGAAATTTGTCTTAATAATAATTTATTTTTCATTTTTCCTTACATGACAGAAGCAGCCATCTACAATTGTTTTTTTAAAAGTTTCTGTTTTATAGAAAATATGTCTATTTTATATAAATTATTTACTGAAATTTATACATAAAGAATGACAAGTACAAAGTTTTAAGAATTTATTTGATCTATTTGGAGGTCAAAGGTAATCGTAATGTCGAAATCGGAACATAATATCAGAATGAACATTCCGAATTTCCAAATATGATAATAAAACGAGCTGCAAAGAAACAATGAGCACGCTGAATGATTTTGATAGGTATTGAGTTCCGAGGCAAATCGTGTCAGGTCAAATACCTCATATCTTTCATATACTTCTTGAAACAGTTTCGTAATTCGTATTTACGTTTAAAATGTATTAATTCTAGAACTCATTCGAAAATAAATGTGTATTATAATTTGTTTTTATTAAACCAAAAGATCATGATAGTATCAATCACACAGAGAGTAAATGTTGTTCCATAAATATTGTATGACTTGTCGGTAATCGTATTATTACAGATAGCTTAAAACTTCTGGGTCTCCAGAGATTTGTCCTCTATGTTTTGTATAAGATTTTTATGGGCAGTACTCTGAGGAATTGGTTTAAATATCTCACGATCTTCTATCAACGACGCACCACCCTCGATTCCAACAGAGGTCATCCCTACGAAGTCATTCCGAGTGAAACCGCTGCGTGCTTTGTCTTAGAATTGGTGTTTGCCCGATTATCGAAATTGACCATAACGTAACTGAAACTCCAAAGATTTACATTAATTTTACGTGTTATAGTTCATCGTTTGTTTAGTCTAAGACATTTAGATAAACAGCGACTAAATAAAATAAATTAAATCGTGTGACAAGAATAGGAACAAATAGTACTTAATCGTTAAATCTGTGGCTATTTATTTCTAAATATTTTTGGCTTGTACGATCCGGCTTACTGAACACGTACACGATGTTTCCTGAACGCTACAAGTACTATATGAATTCCATCATGACTGAAAAACACAGCGGTGCTCTTCAAAAGGAGTCGCCCTCCGAATACCACTTCGAGCATCCCACTCCCTAATAGGCGCGAAAACACCTCCGCCGTTATCCCCATCACTCTCTTTGGCCAGCCCATACCGTGGGCCTCGAAGGTCAAATACCTAGGCGTCACCCTCGACAGAGGGTAGACATTCCGTCCCCACATTAAAACAGTACGCGACCGTGCCGCCTTTATACTAGGACGACTCTACCCTATGCTTTGTAGACGAAGCAAACTGACCCTCCGTAATAAGGTAGCTCTCTACAAAACTTGCACACGCCCCGTCAAGCGTAGTGTATGCTCACGCGGCCCGCACCCACTTGAAACCCCTTCAGGTTATTCAATCCCGATTCTGCAGGATAGCCGTCGGAGCACCATGGTGCCTGACGAGCGTGGATCTCCACGATGACCTGGAGCTCGACTCTATCTGTAAGTATCTATGGGTAGGAAAAAAAAAAAAACAAGACTCAAGTTTGGTGATGTCAAAGTTTGAATTGAGTGATTTAAAATCTTTCTTTAATATCACCGTATTGAACAATATCTGAAGGGAACCCTGTCCTCAACCTATTCTACATACTAATAATTTCGTATCATATTGTATTCTTAATGTTGATTATTTTGTTTCAGACCGTCGATGAGCTTTATGCGTTGGCTGACAAAATTATTGGATCGAAACGTCTTTGAAATCGCACTTGAAGAGAAAAGATTTATAACATTGATATACTTTTTTTTTGTTATGACTTAAAGTTGAACACCTACTACATTTTAAGTGATAAAATTTAATCACGTATTGCGTGTAAGAGAAACATGTTTTGTATTTAATATAGAAAAAAAAAACATCCTACATATATGATCGTTTTGCTTTTTGAAATTTGTTGAATTCCTTCAATTTCTGTAGCGGTAATTTTCAACATCCAATACATTAAGTAAATAATTTAAGGGATAAAGGTAACCGCGTCCTCAGATGTCATTTTAGGGCAACGCTATACCCAGAAGGAGATTGTGATGATGAATATGCGGTACTAAGGTAAGGAATTGCTTTTTTTCTTGTTTGATGTCAGAGATAGAGTCAACAGTTTATTAGTGAAGGAAATCCGTGATGTTTACGGATAGATAATGTCTTTATAAGTTGTATGGATTCCCAGTATACTATTTATTACACAGTCCTTTGAACCCTCATTGACTCACAGTTTTTGTTGCCGTTTACTTTACGTAATAACAACAAATGAATTTCATAACATGAGAAAAAAATAAGGACAGTGAACACTTAAAATGAAAAAAGATTGGAAGTTAGCATGTAACTTGTGGCAATGAAAAAAGAATGCATTTCATTTATAAGTTTCTTTATTTATTAACTATATTTTCATATGAAAAATAATGAATATAAAAATCATAAACTTTTTAATTACTACGATACGTTACGTACGAGTACGTACGCCGCGTTTCAAAATTTACATTTCACTCCATTTTGAAACAAAGTTTGCTTACATCTATAAAAGTTTTATATCTAAAAAAAAATTCACTCATCGTTGAAACCAAGCTTCTTTTGAAAAAACAGTAATACGCAAACATTAGGTACAAAAAGATTTCACGATAGTATCTAATGTATCACAATTGTAGTCACGATTACCTAATCAACATTAATTTCTACGATTTTTTTTTTTATCATTGTATGATTACTAGTGGCCCGGAGGCCTTTCCAGTTTCACGAGGACAGGTGGGCGAGCAAAGGCTCAGCCAGGAGGGGTGGGATTTGCCAACAGCTACCCGAGCGCCTCCGAAGGAGACTTAACAGCTCAAGAGCAGCCGCTTCGCGAATGAATCTGCTACCGGATCGGAATCGCGACCCGCTGAGAAGATCCGGCGAGAAACTCAGCGAGCTGATTCATGGGTTAGGTTGCACGGCGAACTCTTTGTCAAGTTCGACGAGTACGGCTACCGGGGTCCCCAAGCCTGCTCCTAGTGTTAGAGCTGAAGGCGTCTAGTGCAAAGGTTATTGGATTTGATGGACTCTACGAATTACGAATCCTTTATGTATTACCAACTTGAAATCAGAAGCAAGGTTCTCGATTCGGGGTGATTATTTAAATGTATTTATAGTATCACAATTTTCCACGACTCTTTAATTCGTAGCTCGACTTCACTTCAACTTCACAGCTTGCTCTTGGGCCTACGTCGCAGTTGCGCATAGATCAGTCCCGCGGGTTGATCTATGGGATGGTAAATGAAATGTCTCGGGTCCCCTTTGGTCACGTTCACTGGGAACTTGGACATATCGATGTTCAGGTAGTGTTTGTTCGGCATTGTCATCTTAATCCATGTTATCTGAGGACAAAATAAGCACATTTATAAAGTCAGGTGGTAATTTGTTTATTGATTTAGGTCTTTCAACACAGGATATTTACAATACGTGTATTGCTAGAGACACTACTAAACAGTTGTTAGCACGTGTACTCCGTCAGTTTCAAGAAAACAGCATCAATTAAAACAAAATATAAATTCAAAAAGGAATATGTAGGCTATATGTATGATCTTCTTAATGAGTCGCGTTTCCGATCCGGTGGTAGATTCTACGAAGCACTACTCTTGCTAGGGCCAATATTAGCAAAACACAATTCAATTTATGAAACAATTTATTTAGAGACAATTTCTGAAAAGCTGTTGATAAAAGGCAGGGTATACGGAAGAAGGCCCAGAGGCGGAAGTCCAATGCACTGGTCGGATCAGATACGCTCTATTCTCAACGCTTCAGTCCAAGATGCCATCCGCACAGCTAACAATAGGCAGGGCTGGCGCAGGATAACCCAGGAGAAAGTTATTAAAGGATACCACGTTCCTCAACATTAACGATTATCGACGCAAGCAGGATGAATCCTAAATACCACATAACGGTAATCTAGTGGACCCAAAAATATATTTATTATCATCTGATTTCGCGAGGTTCATCGTCAGAAATAGTGTCACAAAAAAAATTTTGGCCTCCTGTTGCTCAACAACCCGCGTCCGAACCTCGCATGAGACAGAACCCATGAAAAGGCAAAGGGGGGAAAGTGAAGCGTTTAGTGCGGAGCACATCTCTCCCATCACCCTCCCCCTAAAGGCGGATATACATAATATGTATTATCACAATAACATTCTTGTGTCAGTAGAACGTAACGCATTTTCGTAGCGTGACGCACTCTTGACGTAACGGACGCTAGTATTGGTAATAGGGTACATTGAAATCGACAAGATCATACTTTAGGGCAAGCTGTTGGTTGATATCCCTAGCCACTATCTATATAAATCCAGTAGATTTTTGTTTAGTAAATATTTAAATAATTTTACAAAGGACATATTTAAAAGACAAAGCACTTTATTTTTTTTGATGTAAATAAACAATTACGATAAACACTACCCAGTTCGATAATTTTAATGAACTAGATACGTACAAGTTATTTATATAGTATGTCACATAAATGAAGCAAATAAAAACGTATTTAAACCATATCATTTTTAGGGAATAAGCTGTCCACATAATTATCAAATCAACCTAGGAATTTAAATCGTACTTTTGTGATGTTAGTGAAAAAACATAACTTAACTACTTAGTAGTCCATAAATAATATTATCAAAATATTTCTTTGTAAAAACTGAACACAACATAACTTTTAGGTTTTCAGTAGATGCCATTACCACCACATTTTGTAGTCGAGGCTCCCTAGATCCTATCATCGCTGATGAATTTGGACTAAATATTTCAACGGATATCTACTTTATTTCAACGGAGAAAACATTTTAAAACTACTTTTAAGTTTAATATCGATGATGATCAGCACAATATTCAAATGTCGACGAATACCAACTTAGTCTTAGTCTTAGTCAGTTACTAAGATAGCTGGAAAGTATTGTAATCGTCATAAATAAATAGAATGACAGTAAAAACGCGAGATTAATCCGTAAAAGTACTTTTAATTATGTTTCAGACACGGGAAAACCAAAAATCAAAAGTTTTAAATACGACACTCATAAAATACGATCAGATTATTTATTAGTAGATTTCGACGTACCTCGCTAACTTTTTCGAGAACAGTTTTTTCAGCCTGATATAAGGTGTGCTGGACGGAGGGTGAATACACCCCCGTATCGGGAGGGCCGGCGAATTTGTCCAGTATGGCATCCTTGACTGTAAGCCATGCGTTATCGAAATCAGCTGTACGCATGTTGTCGTAAATCCATTCCGCTTCGACGATCGTGCTACAGAAAAATAAACATTTACTTACAAAATCATCACATTTTTAATCGGATTTAACAGGATATCTTAAAATACTTTATTAAAATAAATATACTTAATTTCAAAAAACTAGATATAATAGCTCACCTAAATATTCGCTCTACGGCATCAGTCAGTGTTGTGTATTCATCTTGTACGAAGTCAACAAATGCTGATTGTGTTGTTTTCAATACGCGGAGTCCGCTGAGGCCAGATTTAACCACCACTGCCTCTGTTGAATTTTTAATTCGCATATAAAAACGCACATAAAGAAACATAGAGAGATTTTAAGCACCCAAACACAACTAACCGTGACGAGTTTGTGATACTTCCGACCACCGCGTGGCGATTGGTGAAAAAACAAAAGCATGGCTGTGAGGTGTCCCCGCCTGCAGTCGCTCCCAGGGGTACTCGATAACGCGACATTTTGCTTCCAGCACTTGCTTGTACATATACAAAAAATGATTAACAACTACAGCACCAAATTCTTCAGGAGTCTTCACTCCGTATTTCTTGGCGAGTAAATACACTGTATTCTTTTGTGAATCGGTCGCAACGACTTCTTTATTGTCACCTAAAATGTATGCTGTCTCCGAAGCCAATTTAAGTTCCGTAAAGACTTCAAACTCCCTGATAACGTGATGTCCTTCGTCTCGGTGAACATGGAGAAGCTTAACCGAGCTTTTGCCGTATCCGTGGTCGCAGAGTTCAAACCTACCGCCGGAGTCCTCGGCAGCAGTTAAAGCCACCCGGGGGCTGGCCAAAGAAGGTGAAGGAGTCTCATTAGCACTCGTGCTTGAGGGCTTAGCGTATATTCTGTAAAAGTAATTTTACTGTAATTTAATAAATTTACTGGTGGTAGGACCTCTTGTGAGTCCGCACGGATAGGTACCACCACCCTGCCTATTTCTGCCGTGAAGCAGTAATGCGTTTCCTGTTTAAAGGGTGGGGCAGCCGTTGTAACTATACTTGAGACCTTTAGAACTTATATCTCAAGGTGGGTGGCGCATTTACGTTGTAGATGTCTATGGGCTCCAGTAACCACTTAACACCAGGTGGGCTGTGAGCTCGTCCCCCAAAAGTAAAACTTTTTATACATATAATAACAACATTGATTTAAGTAAGTGATCAGTGATTTATTTACCTATTTGTGCTTGTCCAAGGCATTTTGGGGTCGATTTGATTCACTTAATTTTAAGTGTGTGTAAAAAGCGACGACGCCGCTGCATGAACACCAGAGCTCTTAGATACTGCGGTCGCGTTCATAGCAGACTTGTCTTTATAAGAGTGCCCTGTGACCCGCGCTATCAGAGTCGAGCACGCGACTAATATCAAACACTGTTTAGTATATTAATTACGTATCTATGTTACTGATTAAATAAAAAAATAACCGAACGTGCTATTGTATCCGGTATGCATGTTTTTTTTGTTTTTTTTTTTGTTCTCATTAAATAGAAATTTATGGAATGATTTATATTGTTTTATTTGTAACATATTATTTTAAATATGATAATATTTGCGATTTTTTTAATTTTATTTCATAGACGAAATATTATTTCCTTTCATCGCTCTACTAATTTGTCTAGACAAGCAGTCTAGAGCAATATAAAAATCGAAACCGCCTCGTGAGCGTGGGAAATTCAGTCACAGAGTTCAGTAAGTAAATTTCAGTCAGTTCAGCCGTTTCGCGTATAGTCAAAATATAATTCGTGAATTGAAACAGAGGCGCTAATGCAACAATTTGTGGGCATTATTCAAATAAAATAGTGATTTAGAAGAAAATATGTCATTGTGTTTTTTTTTTTTAAAGACCCTGATACCAGCCGTCGTCTTACAAACAGAGCGATATAACTCACGTCCATGACAACATATGTACCTAATCTAATTGTGGGTCGAAGAGTTCATTGCATTAATTTATATATTTTAGTAATAATGAAGATCCGACAAGTTATAAAAATAAATAAACAAAATCATCCTGACAACTAAATCTAGTGCCCAATCAAAACGACTTATTTATTTAGAGCATGAATGTAGAATATTAACGAAACATTCTTATGAATTTACGATTTATTTATATTCACAAGATATTAAGTTATTTAATATAGTACATTGTGCACCAAGGGAGAAAAGTTGGACATTTCCTCCCGCGTGTAAAATTGCATTTCCCGCGTGGAAAGCATACTCATAAAAAAAACAATTTAACTGTTTTTTAATTTTTAAAGAAATTACTACTAATTGAATAAGAACTGTCTGATAAACTCATCTTTGTTTAATACTTCACTATTAAATTTTATTGGCTTTGTTTATTTCACTTTTACGCTAAACACAATATTGCAAATTACCCGAGCACAACAATGGCGGAGAATTTTAGGTGCGTGAGAGCAGACGTAGACACTAACGCACATGCGCACTTGTCAGTACCCAGGGAGAAAAAGTTAGACTTTCTTCCCTGTACAGCGGGACGAAAACCGAACTTTCGGCGTCGGTAGGAGAAAAAACATATTCATACATGAGCGTTTGAAATTAAAGTAGCATCTCAATATTTAAAATGATAAAAGACGACAAATAGATACTACTATTACTATGATTGTAAAAAAGTAACTATATAGTAACACTAAGTGGATTTTGTTTCGGTTATCCTTATCCCGTAAATATTTTGAATGCATTCAATAAACAATTCCACTAACTACTTATATTATATCAAAACTATCAATAACAAAAATAATGATGAAATTAAATTATGATGTAAATATCGTATATAATTATATAAAAAATATACGTAAAAATAATACAAAAATAATACGTAAATGTATATCTAAAAAAAAAACACCAAATATTTGTCAGTTTCGGAGCGAGAGAAGCTTGAAAATCGCTGGTTATCGCATTAAGTGTTTTTGGTGCAATTATATTTATTAAGTTTTTAAATTTAACACAATTAAATTTTTTCTATGACGATGTGACTGTGTTGTGACTGTGAATGTGTTGACATATAACGTTGCTAATAATAACATTGCTATCGGGTTAGTCTACTTTGAGGCAGTCTGCATTTAATTCAACCTCTACCAAAATGTATTTTTTTTATTGCTTATATGGTTGGATGAGCTCACAGCCCACCTGGTGTAAAGTGGTTACTGGAGCCCATAGACATCTACAACGTAAATGCGCCACCCATCTTGAGATATAAGTTCTAAGATCTCAATATAGTTACAACGGCTGCCCCACCCTTCAAACCGAAACGCATTACTGCTTCATGGCAGAAATAGGCAGGGTGGTTGTACCTACCCTGCGGACACACAAGAGGTCCTACCACCAGTAGAAAATTTTAGTACCAAGTATTTAGATTTATGACAGAAATAACAAGGAAGTGACTAGCCAATGGACTACAACAATACAAAATAAGCTCTGCTTCTGCGAAATTCTGAATTTGCAGGAGTATTTTTAGCACTCAATCGTTCGACGACATTCTTGTAGTGTGCACATTCCCAAACTACCCGTAGCACAATACATCAATACAGATTGCTTAAAGATTTTGAATGTAAATATATAAAGTTTGATATATGTAGGATGTTCTCTATAGCCTATGGAGCTACTAGACCGATTTTGATGAAACCTTCAAATTATCCTGTAAATTTGGTCGCGATCGGATCAAATTCAAGATCGACGAGCTCACGAGCCAGCTGGTGTTAATTGGTTACCGGAGCTTATAGACATCAACCACGATATGGCCGCCACCCACGAGACATAAGTTCTAAATCTCAGTTTGTACAGTACAACGGCTGGCCCATCCTCCAACCAAACCGCATTATTGCTTCACGGCACATATAAGCACCTAACCTATGCATCAGCCCGCTGAGTTTCTCGCCGGATCTTCTCAGCGGGTCGCGATTCCTATCCGGTAGTAGATTCATTCGCGAAGCAGTTGCTCTTGAGTTGTTAGGTCTCCTTCGGAGGCGCTCGGGCAGCTGTTAGCAAATCCCACCCCTCCTGGATGAGCCTTTGCTCGCCCACCTGTCCTGGTGAAACTGGAAAGGCCTCCGGGCCAGAAGTAATCCTTCAATCATAAAAAATATATAAGCAAGGTGATACCTACCCGTGCGGGTTCACAAGACGCCCTACCATCAGTAAAATAGCATGTGTGCAATTAACACGCACTAGAATTAAAACCTCCAGCAGTGACCGTGCTTACTGTGATATTGCGAGATAATTGTGAAAACAATAAAATAGCGCTGAATCTCGTTGAAAGAACCCGTGTTGGTATTCTAACATTTGCCTAGGGGATTCCTTTCGCAAAGTTTGCATACACGGTGTTTTAATACTTAACAGCAACTTTTTGACTTTCCACACATTTTTTAGAGAAAAATACCTCATTTTGGCGTAAATATAAGACTTGAAGATAATCCATGAATGATAATGTCCATGCTGAATCCTCGTGGTTCGTCTGCTCGCGTTTTCGTTTGAGCTTTATTATATTATTACATACTTTTCTTTTTTTTCAATGTTTTAACTGTCCGTCGCTACATCAGTGCTTTTACGGTCTTTAAAGCTCTAGTCTTCACTGAATTGTTTGGTTATACTATAACAAATTCCAATAAAAATTTCAAGTTATAAATCTGTTAAAAATCCTAGGTTGGCACTTCTTCCCCTACCTATTTTCTGGTAGCCTAAGGGGCTATTCCAGCTACGCCTGGACGGGTAAGTGAGCTCACGGGCTCAACTTGAGAGAATTTGCTAACACTATCCCTAGCAAGAGCAATGCTTGGCAGAGTCTACCACCAGATCGAAAACGCGACCCACTGAGAAGAATCGGCGAGAAACTCAGTGGGCTGTGTCTATGGATTAGTTCGCTCGTCGACCTCTTTATCGTAATCGACGAGCTCGACGAGGACGGTGACCGGTGCTTGAGAGGCCTGAAAACACCTACAGTAATGGATTGGATGACCTGGAGAGAGTGAGCGAACACTACACTTACATAGGTAATGACAGAACGTATGCAAGCTTTGTAAAGTGTGAACTTGTTATGAAGGGACAATTTACTTCGCTTGCAGATCATAGAGTATAGTCGACCGAGTAGGAACGCGGCTCGGTCACGTACTGACTTGATGTGGGGTTCGACTGTCATCCCCCTGTCGAGAGTGACGTCTAAGTACTTAGAATTCGAAGCCCATGGTATGGGCTGGCCAAAAATTTATATGGCGAGCATGGAGTTGCCGCGCCTAATTGGTAACGAGATACTAGCAGTAATGTCCGGAGGGCGGCTGATATCGATGCGCCACTTTAGGAATCACTGTCCTAAATTGTTGGCCGCGATCTGGAGTTTATTATGCATGAACGAGATATTCCTACTAGAGCAGTAGATAGCCATATCATCCGCGAAAAGGGCTAAATGGGTCGCCGGCGACTGGGTATATCGTTGATAAACAGGTTAAAAATAGTGGCGAAAGAGCGGAACTTTGCGGGATTCCGGCCGACATATGTCGCACGAGAGAGCGAGTTCTCCCGACTCGATACCGAAACGAACGGTTCGACAAGAAGTCTCGTATAATAAGCACAGGACTGTCTAGCACGCCAATGTTATACAGCTTGTAAATTAAACCGTTGTGTCAGACTTTGGCGAACGTCTTCGCGATATCAAAGAAGAGGGCTGCCGTGGGGACGGTTCTCCTAATATGTATCTACTCCGTAAGGCAGTGCACTTGCTGAATGCACGAGTGCTTCGCGTGGAATCCGAACTGTTCTTCGATCAGGATGCCTTACCAGATGATGAAGTCCCAGAGCCGTATCCGTAGTAGTCGCTCGTATAATTTGCTTAACGCTGGGAGGAGGCAGATCGGACGATAGCTCGCGGGATCATTTTTAGGTTTTCCAGGTCCGCATGCTTATCCAAAAAAAAATTTTTTATGGCGAAATTTTTAACTGAACATACATACACTGAACAACTAAACATACATTTAAGAGAACTTGTTAGTCGCCGAGTAAATATATACGTAGATCAAAATCCACACCCAATGACCGAAACATTTTACTGTTTTAACTAAATACATATTTTTAAATATGTAAATAAAGAAAAGCTCAGAAATTTTAGAATGAGGAAATAAAGTCGCATCCTGAATATATTATGATAGAAAATATTAGCGATCGGCCGTTACAAGTAAAACTGAAATGCGAGTGGTAGTATTTTTATGGGTTGATCATAAACTTTTATGTGCCTCACTCTACGATTATTTGTAATAAGACATCCAAATTTATACACATGAATCGAAATGAACATTTTTAATGTCAACAAACAAAATCTTAATTTTAGCAAGTTTTTATGAATATTTTTTGTTCGTATTTAGAATGAAACGTTGACCGAGAATTACAGTGTAAATGTAAAAATACATTTAGAAATATTGTATTCAGTGGCACGCGACGGTGATGTGTGAAACTGAATATATAATTTTGATCGTGTTTACGCAAACATGTTTAAAGTTGTCTTTACGATTCAGTTGCGAAAGTGCATCAACCAGTATCGCATGTTCGACAAATGAATTTCACAGCGAATAGTTAAATGAACGTCAGAAAATAGTATCAACAATGCGGTAGTGGGATACGAACTTACGAGCGTGTAGCGTACTGCGGACGGAGTTGCGTCGTGGCGGAGGGCGGGCGGTTTGCGCAAGCGCGTCGCGGACGGGCGTGACGCGGTACTCCCGCACAGCTGACGCCGGGGCCCCGTGACGCGACGCGGCCACGCATCGATTTCGCGCACGTCGTCGTGGAAATCAGTCGGATAATGCCACACGTCGCTATTTAGTGAACAAAGTGTTACCTGTAACAGAGTGCACGTCTTGCGTATCCTGCTCGGTCCCGATGATGGTGAGACGAAGCGGACGTTACACCGTGAACTGGCGAGGATTCAGAGACTTCGCTTTCGGTAGTAAGCCTCCTGACGAAGGTTAGTTTTACAACCAACATTCTTTGTTGGTTAGATAGTTTAAACTCCCTAACTACTTGAACAAATCAAATAAAATACCTATGCAGTTATTTTTTCGCAACAAATCTTGCGGATGAATAATTTCATAAGTTTTTTATATAGGAATATTACCATTTTGGCAATGTTACGAACACAAAAGTGAACATGAAATGAATAAATTAAGGAATCAGTTTAAACTTACTCGTGGCAAGACAGATTTTTTCATCCAAATGTTTTTTTTTTCATTTTAGCTATTTCGTCCTTTGCTAATGTTCATTTTCCGAAAGCGGCCCCAGACTTATCATTTTCTGTTACTAATTACTTATCTTCTCTAAGAAAGGTTCAGCATATTTTTAAATTACATTTTGTTAACACAAAACGTGTCATGCGAAGTATTCACGACCGGGGATGTTTTTGATAGATTTAAATAAATAAATAAGCAGGGGATAACAACTTTAATTCTTGGGTAGAAACAATGGAATTTGAATGAAACATTGAATTAAAAACTAGACATCCGTATTAATATTAAAAACCGTAAAGTACTCGAAACGTCACAAATAATAAAATGACAATCAAATCCCGAGGTTAAATCGTAACATTAATTTTGTGTTTAATTAAGAATTAAATATAATCAAACGAAATTGACAAGGTATTTCAAAAATAAATCGCTTTTCTTTGATTTCCAGTCGGAAAAATTCCTTGAATATACACTTTAGCACCTCATACTTCTAGTTTTACTTGATTTGGCAAAGATCCCACAAATTTCTACTTGCAATTTGTTAAGGGATAAAAATATAATAATATACTATTTACTAGAATCCTTTTCGGGCTATTGAAGCACTGCAGTACAAGGATAGTGATATCTAAATAACGGCTGGATTCAATATATTTTAAAACTAAAACTATCCACTATAATATTATGTTATATAATATTTCTACAGTTTACGAATAATTTGAAAAGGGTAAGAAAGAATAAATGGAAAGACAGTCCAAAAAAACAAAAAGAAAACCGCGTTAAATAAAATCAATAGTCTCGTTTTTTGCATTGTTTAATTACCACTAATCGATGCGTTTTTGTTATAATTATGTTATAATACAAAATCCTAGTAGAATAAAATGTGGAAAAACATATATTTTTAAAGCTACTTTTTGAAATGAAACGGTAGGCAGCGGCTTGGCTCTCCCCCTGGCATTGCTGAAGTCCATTGGCGACAGTAACCACGCACCAGCAGGTGGGTCGTATGCTCGTCTACAAGGGCAATAAAAAAAGTAACTAATTCCTTTTTTTAATTATATGATTATCCACGGGTGCGCTTAGAATTTGGCACACAATAGTTATGTTGTTAGAGAAACAAAATTATTATTTAATAGCTTTAAACTCCGTTAGGTACATTCGAAAACAAAAATTAGTCAATTCGATTAAAAAATATTAAATTTTATCGATTTTTGTAATTTATTATTTTGAAGATTACAAAAACATAAAGATTTGACCTATAATCATTTAGACAACGAGGTATAAAAACGCCATTTTAACGTTATGGCAATTAAAATCGTATAGGAAACTTCGACTAAAGAATAAACATGTCGCGGGTAGCCATCATACAACGCAAGATAATTGACAGATGCCTGAATCTCGCTTACGACATTTTCAAGATAAAGCGCATATATACAAGTTCCGAACAACAACATTCGGACCGTCGGTCTACCGAGCAATATCAGCCGCTCGGTGGAAGATCTTCCTTTCGTCGTATATTCCCAAACTGGTGACCTGCGACGAGATGTGAACACGCAACCTTCTGATTCATCATCAGCGCATCAAGAACTTCGGCTACCACAATCCCGCATTCTCGCAGATAAAAACAAGTCATCGACAGTCGTCCCACAGCAAGCCAGCATCGCAGCCTCAACAGGACCATCGCAGCCGACTCACCGCGCTTCCTGGCCCTACGGCACGCACCTACACTGCCTCATCGCGCAGCATTCAAGCTCAGTCTCGACTCACCGCAGACTTCGAGCAGCACTGGCGACAATCACGCAGCATTCAAGCTCAGTTTCGACTCACCGCAAACTTCGAGCAGCACTGGCACTTGCAAGCTTATCTCAGCACGGACAACGATAACTAAATATGACACGACCTTCAGTCTCGGAGGGGAGTGATGTGGCGGGTAGCCATCATACAACGCAAGATAATTGACAGATGCCTGAATCTCGCTTACGACATTTTCAAGATAAAGCGCATATATACAAGTTCCGAACAACAACATTCGGACCGTCGGTCTACCGAGCAATATCAGCCGCTCGGTGGAAGATCTTCCCTTTGTCGTATATTCCTATAAACACATCACAAAGAAGACTTGGCACTAACATAAATAACGATAAATTTAAAACAATGGTCGAGGCAGAGGCTATCAAACAACCAAGGAGTTATTGCCATTATTTGACGTTAGTTTACCCATCAATAATATTTAACAGTATTTTCATGAATACACGTGAGATTAAACGATAAAAGTACTTGGTCAAGAACATAATAATATGATTCACATAATTTTTTCTAAGATGGGTGGATGAGTTCTAGGCCCACTTGGGGTTAAGTGGTCACCGAAGCACATACGCATCAACAACGTAAATGCCACCACACACCTTGAGTCATGGGTTCTAAGTCTCAATTTTTCAGTACAACGGCTGCCCCACCCTTCAAATCGAAATGCATTATTGCTTCACGGTAGAAATAGGCATGGTGGTTATAATTACCAACTCACAAGACGCCCTACCCAACCCCCTAACCAATAGTAACGGTAATTATATATTTTTTTGCGAGTTAATTTTTTATTACACAATTTTTTTTAATTAGGGACAGTAATTCGTGAACATTTGTTAAGTACGTATTTCATCATAACAATTGGTACCTACCTACTGGATTCAACCACCGGCACAGTCGCATCGCTAAGTACCAATTACCAATAAATACACTGGTCATCTTATCCCGCAGGCCAACGACGACTCGACTTCGATAATTACCGAAAACTAAAACAGCATTAGCGCCAAAATAGGATTACGTAGGGAAACTACGTTCACTTACTACGCAGCCTTTTCCTTTTAGGGTTTTCAGAATTCTAAAGAACAAGCAACTGGGGGACGTGAAAAATAAATCACGTAAATATGACATTTAAATTAACTATGTTGCTACGTTAACGCGCTATGTTGTTAATCAGTTATAAGATACACACTCTTCGTATTTGCTTATTTTCTATTCATGTGATAATAATTAAAATGAAATCCAAAACATCGACGGATAGTTGCTAGCGAACTTGATCAGCACATAGAAAAGAAAACGAACCTACGTACAAAATAAATAGATATTTGATAATTGAGGCAATTTAATTATCACTAAAGAAAAATACCGCAACGATCAAATTATCTCTCTTTTTAATAGTTCATTAACCCTGTCCTATCTTTCATGCTAAGATAAATAAATTCAGCGTGTGAAGATTTTCATGCCAGCGGAGACTGTATAGATATGTGTGTATGTACGGGCTTCGGTATCATACAATAGTATACTATATACTACTTAGTCTGGCCATAAATACTGTTACAATTAAAAATAATTTTTTTTTTATTGCAAATTACATTTATTACTTTTACAGTGTGTTAGTTTAATACATAAATATAAAAAATTTAAAGTATAAAAAGCTTGTTCGAAGTGGTCTTCATTGGCTGCAATACAGTTCTTTAAACGTTGAGGCCAGTTATCAATAGAAGTACGCACTCTTTCCTTGGGAAAAAATTTCACTGCCAATCGTACGGATTGTTTTAGGGACTCATAATCCTATATAAATATAATCCAGCGGATTAAGATCGGGACTAGACGACAGCCAGTCTTCAGCTCTGATGAAGTCCTAAACGTTCGTTTCCAACCAAGACTGCGTAGACCGAGCTTTATGACCTGGCGCCGAGTCTTGCTGGAAGGACCATTCTTGATTATTGAACATGGTGTTGATAAGGGGCTTCACTACCTTCTCAAAAATGATATCTTGATACACTTGTGCCGATGTTTTGATACCTTTTTCACAAAAGTATGGCTCAGTTATTGGCTTAATGAGGTGCTTAATATTTCCTATTTTCCTATATGGAGCAGAAACATGGACGATCCATCAAAAATGTCGTAAAAAGATTGACGCCCTTGAGATGTGGTGCTGGAGACGCTTGCTGAGGGTAAAATGGACTGCTCACCGCACTAATGTATCCATCCTCAAAGAGCTCCAAATCAAACCAAGGCTTTCGTCGATTGTGCAATTGCGAATCCTTAATATGTTTGGACATATCATTCGTAATGAAAGGTCATTGGAACGTTTAGTGGTTTAAGGAAGAGTAGACGGTCAACGCTCTCGCGGCCGATCACCCACAAGGTGGACAGACTTGGTTAAGTTGTCTACGAAGTGTTCCCTTACTCAGTGTACACGTACCGCCACAAATAGAGAAAGATGGAGAAGTCTCTCAAAAGCCGCAACCAAATATTAAGACTTACGTAACCACGACCACTCCGCCAGGAGTGAACGACTGAAAAGAATGGCTCAGTTCACTCCTTTATAGCTAATACGGTCATTTTGTTTGTTAAAATGTTGCTCAATTGTAAAAATTTTCTCATCCGTAAACAAAAATTTTCTATGACCTCCCTTTGCGTACCGCTTCAGTAGTTGTTTCGATTTTACCACCCTATTCTCTTTTAAATTATCCGTTACGAAATGACCAGTACGTCTCTTATAGGCTGCAAGTCCTAAGTCTCTTTTAAAATACGCGACATGGTTCTAGGTGCTATCTTCATCTCCCGAGATAAAATCTTTTGCTTTCGGACAGGATTTCTTCGAATTCTTTCCCTTGCTGCTTCGACCACCTTTTTCGTACGAACAATACGTGGACGGCCAGATCCTTTTCTGTCACAAACAGAGGAGGTCTCATTGCACCTATTAATAGTACACAAACATTTTACTAATACCAAGCGTATGGAGAGTTTTAAAAATTGCATTTGGCTCCATACCTACTTTGTGTAATGCAATCACAGCAATTCGGTTCTCTTTATCACCCCAGTCCATTTTAATATCGCTAAATATTGTACAATGTATTGGCGCCAAAATGAGAAAACTCAATGAGAAATCATATAAAAATGACAGATTCCAAATTCAAATGTAATATTTTGTTTATTTATAATTGTAACAGTATTTATGGCCAGACTAAGTATATACTAATAGTATACTATATACAAGATGGTCGGTAACATAAGGTCAACCTTATTACTTGCTTTTTTTATTCCCTACCTAATTGTTGGTAGCCAAAGGGACTATTCCATTCCAACTTGGCGCCGACCGGTAGATGAGCTCACGGGCTCAACTTGAGAGAATTGCTAACACTAGCCTTAGCAAGAGCAGTGCTTCGCTAAATCTACTGCCAAATCAGAATCGCGACCCACTAAAAAGATCCGACGAGAAACTCTGTGGGTTGTGTCTATGAGCTAGTTAGCTAGCCGATGCTTGAAGAGCCTAAAAGCAACGAGAGTGGATTCAGGGAATTCGACAAGACATGTTTTGGGCGACGGCGACGATAAGAGGGTTATCGTGCCGCACTACTTTTTCAAAGTAGCATTCTGACGCTTCTCTAAGATACTTACGTATCGGTTATAGATTTAGGTTATCGTGAAGATCTACATTCCTCACATACCACGGTACCCCTATCCTATCCTGCGGAAGCGGGATTGGTTGACCTGGAGAGAGTTAATATGTGTACGGGTAAGCGCACACTACACTTGCATAGGTCATGACGCAACGTACGCAAGTTTTGTAGTGTCACCTTGGTACTAAGGGACAATTTACTTCGCTTGCAGATCATGAGGTAGAGTCTACCGAATAGGAACACGGCTCTGTCGCGTACTGACTTAATTTGGGGACCAAATGCCGTCACTATGTCGAGGGTGACGCCTAAGTTCTTGGCCTTCGGATCCCACGGTATGGGCTGGCCAAAAGTTTTTATGGTGAGAATGGAGCTATCGCGCCTAATTCGAGACGGGATATTTGCAGTGGAGTCTTGGAATCGGCGGCGTGCAATAGGCACTACATTCTTGTTCAGAATTTGTTGTTAAGTTTTCTAATGCCAAGGAGCTACCACTAGACTTTGGTAGCGCAATATCTGCAGAACTAATAATACTATTAAAAACAAACTCGACTGTTTATTATTTTTGGACCTACTTTGTAAGCGTTTCTTCTTTTGTAACAGATCTTAATTAAGTTAAAGAAATGCAATATAAATTCAAAACTTATTTATTACTAGCTTTTGCCCGCGACTCTGTCCGCGTGGAATAGTTACTTTGGCATAGCGCTAAATTTTACCCCCCACTTCATTTACGTAGAAAGTGAAGATATTTTTGAATTATAGAATAATAAGGAGCTATTTAAACCCCATTTTGAAACATTCTTTATTGGTGCTCCACTTATATTGGTCTTACCGTGATGTTATAAAGAATAAATTTTTTTATCGCGTAGAAAATTGTCCAAATCACGAAAAAAATGGTAGTCCGTTAGATCAAAGTCTGGCGAATACGGGGGGTGACGAATAGTTTCTAATTGCAGTTCCTGTAGAGTTAAAACGGTTTCTCGTGCTATATGAGTTCTCGCGTTATCATGGAGCAATAATGGTGAAGATCGATTCATGAGTCGGGGCTGTTTCACTGCAAGTTTTGCTATCATTGTTCGGAGTTCGGCACAGTAGACATCTTTTTTTTCTTTTTCTTTTTATTGTTTATATGGGTGGACGAGCTCACAGCCCACCTGGTGTTAAGTGGTTACTGGAGCCCATAGACATCTACAACGTAAATGCGCCACCCACCTTGAGATATAAGTTCTAAGGTCTCAGTATAGTTAAAACGGCTACTCCACCCTTCGAACCGAAACGCATTACTGCTTTACGGCAGAAATAGGCAGGGTGGTGATACCTACCCGCGCGGACTCACAAGAGGCTTCCACCATCTCTTTCAATTCATTGTTATTCACATGTTGGGCGGTCTTCCACGTGGTTCGTTCCTCAAATAAAAAATTCCATCACGAAAGCCTTTAAACCAAAATCGGACAGTGCGTTCATTAGCAGTCCCCTCTCCAAACGCAACATTGAGCTGTATCTGCAGCGTTAGTTCCGCACCGGAACTCGTCTTCAAAAATCACTCGAATTTTCGAAGTATCCATCTTTCTTGTCTAAGCTGAATAAAAAAAACAACTGAAAGTCGATAATCGAATGGTGCACATTTTTTAAAAGAAGAACCTCATAGGTACCATTTGAAAAAACTTTTACCTAAAAAATTTCAAACCATGAAGGTTCTATGTCAATTCGAAGTACCGTACAATGGGGTAAATAGGGACAAAATCGACCTTCAGATTGAATTTTAAAATAGTTCCAATTAAATAGTCACTGCTCAACCAAAGAAATAAGTTGAGTCTTGAACGTACCTAGATGATAAAAACCGTTACATTTTTTTTATTATTCATTTTAAAGAAATAATCCGTAAAATAATGGCCGTCCCAATTTACCCAGCGTCCGGGGTAAATTGACACGGTTAAGGGTTAAATTGGGATATTTGTAAGGGTTGTCAACTCGCAGTACTGCGATATATAGGTAGGTGCCATATAATTATTTATATGGACCGAAATGATGAATACAATCCATAATTTAAGCACAATACACAACATAGTGTAAATTAAGCTGGTTTCTATTCCGAAGCGATGTGACGTGAATGATAATCAACAATACAATGATCAAAAAAAGTATGTGCATGTTATATTTTAGAAAATTATTATTTAATTTCCTTAAAAATCACAACTCTGAAACAAAATGATAAAATAGAATAAAAAATAGAAAACAAAAGGACTGGAAATGCAATAATACAATTTTATTTAATCAACATTTTCAAAATAATCTTTGAGCAAGAGTAAGATATCAGGTGAATAAGATAAAAAAACAGCTTTATCTGATTACTGCCAATAATAACAAAAATAAAAGAAATTCTTTCTAAGCTAAATAACTAAACTCAATTAATTCACTCACTCATAATTGGATATCTCGGATTTTTAATTAATGTTACATTTAAAATCTGAGGCCTGTTTTTATTTGTGTGTGCGTTTTGAATGTTAACAAAATCATGATTCGACGCGTGAATAGATTCTGAAATAACAAAAGTTTTGATTCGTTTGAGTTCTTTTAACTTTTAATTTTTTTTATTGCTATAAAGAACATACGACCGGGCAGATATTACAAGGTAAATGTCGCGAAAAAAAAGTAATTATATATATACTTTTCTTTTACCTATAATACTTACATAAACTAACTGATAAACACATTAACCTTCTTTACATCACGCAATTAAGTGATAGTATAGGCTAAAAAATCTATTATAAGATATCAGTGACAACCCTAACAAGCCATCCCTATTTTGTCTTTTGGCGTTCCAATTTTGTGTTTTCTCGTCCCTAATTTTTCCAGTCTCGTTCCAAATTACCCTACATACGTCCCAATTTTCCCCAAAAAGAAAGGAAAAAATATACATTTTTTATTTTGTCGAAATATTGTATTTAAAATAAGAATATTGCAACTTACCGTTTGTTGTGGTATTTCCAGGTGTATTAAAAACTTATATAAACTGTGATCTTATTGAAAAAACAACGATAATATTACTTTTTTAAAAAGTTCTTTAAGCTGTTTTAAAACGCACTTTTCAACCACTATTTTAAATTTAATTTGACGAATTTTTGGGACCAACTAAACTCATGTTTAGTACTTCCATAGTTAACTTGGTTTTTATTCTATACATTGATAAATATTACCTTAAAGAAAATTAGGTAGATTCCGTGCTACAAGTACTTTGAGAATCTTCCGCAGGTTTGTCCCAATTTACCCCAGAATCCCAATTTACCCCATGTCACCTATTACAATAATACGGCAATTTCATACTTTAGCCCCTATATTTATTAAAATCGCGACATTTTCATATTAACTTGAAGTCGCTTTAATATTTATTTACTTTTTATTTCAGAGATAGAAGAACCAAAACCGGCTGAAGACTTGGCAAATCATGAAGTCATATTCCTCAAGAGCATTGTGGAAAGTCCGGATTTCGCAAGGAAGTATGGTGTAAGGGTTTTTTTTAATCATCGAATTATTTTTAAGTACCGGTAAAATGGGGCGATTAGGGATTGAAAGGCGAATCGGGAAAAAAACCGGGAAAATCTTTCGACGCTCAATATAAGTTTTATATTCGTTGCAAAATCTTCCATTTTTTTGTAGTTTAATAGCAGAATGTTGAAAGTTCACAAAACAACTCTGAATATGCATGATAATAGCTGCTAACTTATAAAAAATCGCGTTTCAATTTAACTTCCTGAGGTGGTAATTATTTTAGTGCTAGAAACTTTGCTCTCTTTTATTTATTTGATAATAATAGAAGACGACTATGATTTATAAACGTTATTTAGTGTTTGAACCAGCATATATATTAAAGGTAAGTCTCAGTTGTTATTGGTTTTAATGTATTTGATTAAATAAAAATACATGTAAAAATCTGTTTATTTTGGGGATATTGGGGACGTCTTAGGTATAAATAACAACGAAAAAGGGGTCAATTGGGATGAGAATACGTGAAATGGAAACGACCTAAATATAAATAGGTACAGGTTTGTAGGGTTGTCTATGTAGTTATAACAATATTTTTTAAATTTGTTGGTAAAAATCTGGTTTATTCGAAGCGTAATTGGGAATAAGTCTTTAGTTGAAATAGATAAGCAATTTAATATAAGTAAGTCGATTTTGCAGAGACATGTAACAAGATCAATGAAATCTCAAGGTGGACAAAAATGTCTAAGTAATACATAATAAAATATTTAATGTTTGTTCAGAGTGGGGGTATTCATCTGATTAATCCATGGAATAACCGACACACCTAATCTCTTAACCTAGATAGAAATATCAGCCCCTAAGTACTTACCAAGAACGGAGAAATATAAACCGTTTCTAAGAAAGCCCACTATATATATATATATTGTTGTTAATGCACTGTCGATTGCACCTATAATTGAGGTGATGTCTGCCATGTACTTTTGTCAGTTTTTCAATGTTTTTTTATTGATCATCACTTTGTTGGTGCAACTAAATAAATAAATAAATTAAAACTATATATAAAAATAAAAGTAATGCCAACCCTAGCAAATTTCTCATTTCGTCCCAATTAACCGCAATTTTCGGGTAAATAGGGATTACACCTATTTTTGCATTTTTTGCTTAAACTGGAATGCTAGTTGCATAATTTTAAATTAGACAACAAAGATGCCCCCAAGACTCAATCATTTTGATCCTGATATAGCATTTTAAACATCAACAACTACCTTAAAATTGCTCATANTCGGGTAAATAGGGATTACACCTATTTTTGCATTTTTTGCTTAAACTGGAATGCTAGTTGCATAATTTTAAATTAGACAACAAAGATGCCCCCAAGACTCAATCATTTTGATCCTGATATAGCATTTTAAACATCAACAACTACCTTAAAATTGCTCATAAAGTTGGAATTTGTCCCTAATCGCCCCATTTTACGGTACTTCTTTTATTACTAAAATTTTATGAGAATCATATTGTAACATACTAATTTTGTGCATCATAATATTATTATAGTAATTTTTCTTCACAAAATAAAAATAAATATCGAAATGTATAACTATTATCACGCATTGTCTGTAAAACTGGTACCTAGAAATATCCATTTACATAGGTATATTATTAGTGCAGCTACCTACCACTTACTAAAAATAACCCACAAATAAGATGTCTCAAGAAGACGTCGCCTAAATAAGAAAGCAACAGAATCCTACTAGTATTGTAAAGTTTATATTTCCTGCTTTAACACTTAAGATATATTTTTATTTTGGTTATATATTTACTTCTCCCGCCCAGAGCATCTAGTATAACACCTCGAGGTTACTCGAATAGGTGGGGGAAAAAAGTACACTCCTTAATTTTCATATGCTCAGCTCTCTGTGTTGACTGTTCGAGAGCATCAAAAGCCCAAATCATTTAGGCACTACATCAAAATAATAGATCGTACAATGTGGTGTACAGATCTCTGCAATCAGCATGATGTGCTTTTAGTAAATTTGTTGTAAGATATGGCAGTTGGAGTATGTCTTCCAATAAGGGCTACTCTTCCTCAGTAGGTCATATACCTACATTTATACTGTTTCGTTTTAGCTGCTTAGTATAGGGTCGTGTTGTCAATTTATATGGATGTCCCCTCAGCTTTCTCCGATACGTTTTATGTTCAACATTCTCTGATACGTTCATCTGTTATGTTTTATGGTAACATTTTTTGGAGGTATATTTCCGTAGTAATTGAATATATGTTTTTTTTCTTTTAAAAGGATACTCATTCAATATTCATATTTTAATATGATGAGTTACAACACTCGTCACAGGGTTATTATGCCGCACGTCCGTACTTTTACGTAAACCATTTCAAAATTATTATTTTTGTAAAGTAATCTGTTTCGGACACTGAAGTAGGAAACCTAGTTTCGGAACATAACGGCTGACGTTTGCTGTCATACGCGTTGTTATGTTGCTCAACTCGTAACCAGTTAAACACAGTGCATCATTTAAAACCTGAAATCCCTTTCTAAATGCTTTTAAATTTCGATCTTAATCACCCGTACTTAAGAACTATATTTCTAAATCTCAAAGAAGCACAGTATCTGTCAGTTACTTCATTATGTCTGATTTGCTGGAAAACAATTTAAATCAACATCAACATTCAAAGGCATCAAGCAGAACTGTGAAAGCGGACTAGGTGGGTCTGTTTTTTTGTTTGAGCCTTTCGCGTAATAGAATATATTTTTTAACTTTAATTAGAATGTAACTTAATTTAACAGCATTTTTCCGTCAATCAAATACCAAGAAAAGGTCGTATTCAAGTCTTTTCATTCATGATGACTAAAACACAATGTGCCACGCCTATGTATTTCAAGTTGGTGCGCCTTATACCAACCAACAGACCTGTGTTGGTTTTATGTTAATTACCGGTGGATGGTGTGATTACAGTGTGCTGATTCAGAAGAGGACCTGCTCGTAAAACCCGTATCGCTGGGCAATGTAAACATAATCAGGTCGCTAAGTGAGTACCGTGGAAACAATATACGGACTATTGAGCAAGCCGAACTAGCTATCATTGTATCCAGGGCACATTTTAAGGTGAGCGTTCCCATGTTTATTAATTAATATGAACTTGAACTACCAGGGGTTTAAAAAAATATATACTGTGTCCAAAATAACGTTATTAAATAATCTCGATAACTTCATCTGAAAGTGGTTTGCAGTAATGTATTCAGATGAGTTTGCGTCAATATATTATGACTATTGTAAATTCTGTTGTTAGTTGATTTAGAAACTTGTCAATATAAAAAGCACACAATTTTGTTCAATCTTTAAGCATAAATATATCATAGATTAAACATGTACTAAGACACCATAAAAGTAAACAAGATAAAAGTTTGTAAAGAGCTATTTAAAACTACTTTTATTGAGATGCTTGAAATACAAAATCATTTAATCACGATAGAATATTTAGGGAATAATATTTTTTATTTTTATTGTAGGCACTAATAGAAGCTCATGACCAAATAGGTAAAATTTGGTTGGAAAGAGGATCTGGTATAGATGACAAGTTGATACCAAACGAATTTCCTGACCTGATAGAATTTTCAAAAGAGAGTCCCGAGGGTAACGGAGATATGCCTATAGAAACAGTAAAAGTTGTAGGTCTTAGAAAAGTACCAGGACAACCTTTAGGTTTGACTGTAAGTTTTTAATAGATTTTGAATTATTTCATATCAGTAAATCCCTCCCAACGAATATGTAATTCCTTTCATTGGATACATACATCTAAATATTTTTAACAAAGATCTTATGCGCTTTAGGCACAGAATCAGTACTGTCAATACTGGTGAAATAATGCTAAAGTTCACTAAACACCACCAAAAAACAAATTAAAGGGTTCTTTTTTTTGATGTATTTACAATAACACAAGAATTTCTGACTTTATTGGACATCTTCCTAACAATAATTCACATTATTGACCAAATCAAATTATTGGAATAAAAACATTGTATGTTTTTTCTCTTTGTAGGTGACAACCGATGAGCATGGACAGCTTATTGTTGCAAGGATACTTGCAGGAAGTGCAGCAGCAAAACAAGCCTTAGTATCTGTTGGTGATGTTCTACTGGAAGTAGACGGGGTTCACATTGAATCAGAGGAGCAACTGAAGGAAGCTGTAGCAAAACCAAATGATAGGGTCACTCTTAAAGTTGGACCTAACCTTAAGGAAAAGAGCTCTCAGCTAACAAATAAGTTAACTGTAAGTAGTTAAAAAATATACACTCCGAGGTAGTCAAAAGCCTGATATGGCTGCCAAATTCTTTGGGAACTGATATGGCATTTATAGATCTTTCCCATCTCAGATGCACAACAGGTGCACCAAATTCGACCACCCGTTCGTTTGAGCTGTACATTTTACTGAGCTTATGGTCCACCAGGTGTTAAAGGGTTACCAGAGCCCATAAACATTACGTGAATGCCATCATCCACCTTCAGATACATGGTCTACGTCTCAATCTGAATATCCTCTGATGTCCATGTAAATAATGAAAAAAAGTTGTTTAATGGAATATTCTTTATTTTTCAGTGCTATGTAAGAACACTGTTCGACTATAACCCAATTCAAGACACTTTAATACCGTGCAAAGAAATAGGATTAACATTCAAGAAGGGTGACATATTACAAGTACTGTATTAAATTTTTTTGTAATATTTAAGTTAATTAGTAATCATTACAACAATGTTTTTTTTTCTTTTATTATCTTAATAAATAATAGAATGACACAGCATATTCTATTTGTGATAACCTTCCGTGTCTTATCGTGTAAATAGTCAAAACACTTTAATTTCATAAAAACAATAGAAAGCTCACAGAAAAGTACAACACCCTTTCATTGTTTTTTTTTATAGATTTCTGATAGAAAGGACCCAAACTGGTGGCAAGCAAGTCACGTCGAGAGGCCCGAAATAGTAGGTTTGATACCGTCTCCGGAATTAGAAGAACGAAGAAAAGCATACGTCCCACCCGAGGCTGACTTTGTACATAAAATCAGCATTTGTGGAGCACGGGTAAATACACCTTTTTTTTGTAATGGACAGGTAGACGAGCTTACCAGGCTATCAAACTCCGTAGACAACACTATGCCTTGAGGCACGAGGTCTATGTCTCAATCGTATCGTACAACGGTTGTCCCAACCATCAAAACAACCAACCACCAGACGTTATGCAAATTTATTTATTTATTTTTCGGATTTGATTTTGTTAAAGCTGCATTACTGGTCCATCGAAGTCTTGGACTTCTGGACTTCGGGATTTTAAGCCACGGCAAGTCGTATATATGTAGCTTGATATATACTCGTATCAATAACCGGGCGACTTGTCACCGGGCCACGGATTCATTATGGTCATCGAGTACAAGTTTAAGTTAGTATTGGACTTTATAAAATACTAGCGACCCACCCTCGCTTCGCTTCGGAAACTGTAATTTATTATTGATTTCTCCACTGTTTAATGGATGTTATTATACATATAACTCATATACATATAACATATTATACATATAACTTCGTCTTCAATCACTCTTATCTATTAAAAAAAACCGCATCAAAATCCGTTGCGTAGTTTTAAAGTTTTAAGCATACATAGGAATATAAGGACAGACAAAGCGACTTTGTTTTATACTATGTAGTGATATTTTAAACTCCGTATCACCCTCAAAACAACCTTTTTTCATTATAATTTGACGAATGTTTAATGAAACAAAAAAATATATTAGAAAGAACCAACTAACTAACAGATTGAAACTAAATATAGTACTATACTCTAAAAATCCATTTCAATATAATTATTTCAGTATTTATCATACTTCCTGTAAACGTCATCATCGTAATATTTATATTCGTTCCTAACATTAAATCAAAACATTGAATGAGTCAGCTGAACGTCCTATAACTCAGGGCCTTGGGTATATTACAATAATAAATCACAATAAACATATCGAAACAGTGAATTCACACGCTCGATTCGTGTCAGCATTTGCGATCTTTAATATTCGCACGTTTCGCTGAACAAACTAAAATTCGTTCGATTGTTATAAACGCGGAAATAAACAATGGAAATCACTAACAGCAGAAACGTGTTGCATTAATTTTTTTCATGTCTCTTTCTTACCGGTTGGTCTATTGGTGGTTAGCTTTAAAAAAATCTTTCGTAGTTTTGGAGGGCATCATTAAATTTGTCGTTGAAATGATTTTATGTATTTGAATTTTAGTAATTCAATTACGTTTCATTTTTCATTATCCTACCACGTCGGATTGGCACCACATTAAAGTATCGTCGCTGTCAAACCAAAATCTGCTATGTGCAAAAACTCTATTTTGAATTAACGAGCAAAAACATTTTCGTATAAAATTTTATATGAAGGTGAATTTTTAAGAACTATATCAAATGAAAGCTATAGACACATAACAGTTTTTTTTATACGGTAGACAGGGCTGTGAACTATCCGAAAAGGTCAAAAAGTGCATATTTTGGTTTGACAACGACGGTATGCTCATATTATTTGGCTCCAAGTTTCTTATCCGGGCGTAGCTGGAATAGCTGCTTAGACCACCAGCGAATAGTTAAGGAAAATCTAAGTTTTATAAATTTCTGCTTTTTTTTCCTACCTATTCTAGTGACCTCGAGGGGTCATACTAGATTCGCCGAGCGAGTAGGTGAGCTCACGGGGCTCTAACTTGTGGATTTTGGGAACATCAGCCCTAGCAAGAGCAGTGCTTCGCAGAATCTACCAGCGGATCGGAAACGCGACCCACTGAGCAGATCCGGCGAGAAACTCAGTAGGCTTTACTGCCTTGCGTTAACGTGTTATAGTATGAGTTATTGGTGGTGTTAAGTTATATATAATCTGAGGGTATCGACATTTCCCACTGACTTTTGCAACACAGGTTTTCCTAGCATAAAAGTCAGGGAATATTGTTATTGTGTACCTCATAAAAAAGCCATGTATACTATTAAACTAGTGTTATGAATTCTTGTACGTGTTTGTAATTTAAGAGGCTTGGATAAATATTATTCTTATTATTTATCTGATTACGAAAGCTACTAAACACCACTGGGGCTGGTCTGCCCGTGTCTAATTATATTCATGTACAACAAAAAAAATAACAAATATAAAATTTATCATGACTTAACACTTTTACATCACTGGTCTTGTTACCATCGCGACGGTGTTGCGTCATGGACACTTTGATAATATTACCGATTGAAAAACTAGCTCCGGTGATATGCAAACAGTATCTATAAATTGCCTTGACCTGCAATTAATGCTAACCTGCTGATAAAAAATGAAAAAAACAGATCTTAATTGTTCAGAAAAACATGTAAATAGAAAGAACTATTGTTTTTAACTATTACTAATTTTAAAACAGCATATTTTTACCTTGTTTTATTCAATTTCTAGTTGTGTAGTTTGATATCCGAGCACAATTATATAAAGAGTAAAGAAACTATTTATCAGCTTCCCAATTGACTTAACGGGGCTACTTTCACATTTTTTCTGATATATTTATTTCTTATCTTAGCCATTCTTGTCACTCCACACATCCATCTCAACATTCGCATCTCGCCGCATGCACCCCTCTCTTAACGGTAGGCAGCGGCTTGGCTCTGCTCCTGGCATTGCTGAAGTCCATGAGCGACGGTAACCAGTTACCATCAGGTGGGCCGTATGCTCGTCTGCCTACAAGGGTAATAAAAAAAATTAAAAAAATTGCTTTACTTTCCTCGTTCAGATCCATACAGCACGACAGGTCTGTAGGGACCACAAATGTCCCTATAGCAACTAATAATTATATGTATGTGTTAGCGGTAATTATAATGCAATGATGCTACGTCAGTCTCGGGATTGTCGGGCTGTCGATAGCACGTTACGTTGTAATCCCAATATACGTTAGTCACTTAACTGAACACGTGTCTTATTAATCCTTACCCGATATAGAGACTCAACGCTGTTCAATGATCGTTTTCTAAAAATTTCCCCTTGTTCAGATATCGAGAAAGAAAAAGAAATTTGTTTACGAGTCGCGGTCGTCGGTGCAATTGGAAGGGGCCGAGCTGGCGCTGTACGAGGAAGTGGCCCGCACGCCCCCCTTCCTGCGGCGCGTGTTAGCGCTCGTCGGCACGCGCGGCGTCGGCAGGAGGACGCTCAAGAATAGGCTCATACAGGACTACCCCGACCGGTTCGGGGCGGTCGTGCCGCGTGAGTCATCTCACAACTAACGTTTAGAATGTCAGCCTGGTCCAGTTAGAACCCATTTTTTTTCAGGCCGGATCCGAACCTCTTACGAAGTCCCCGCTCCTAGGGGGTGCACAGGACATGAGTGACTAGTCCGCGACTGCGAGACCGCGGGTCCAAGGTTTTTTTCAGGACCCTACCCACTAAACGACTCCCCCGATAGTTAGAACCCCAACTCCAGGGTTTATTGCTTGTATAGGCAGACGAGCGTACGGCCCACCTGATGGTGACTGGTTACTGTCGCCCATGGACCTCAACAATGCTAGGGACAGAATCAAGCTGCCGCATACCGTGTGAGCCCAGAGAGATATAAGTATGCGACTGTTGGTAATTTGGAAGACAACAGTCCTTGAATTTTTACTTTTAACTCAAGTGTAAAAGCAAATTTTTAGTTTTAGTTACCTTAGGCAGATCATAAAAAAAAAGCGTCATTGTTAACTTTTGAATTGAAAACTTTAGCCTCTAATTAGAAACTGTACCGAAGATTACGTGATTATTGTTACCCAACTACTCGGATGCTCAATAGAAGAATATGTGCTCAGATACGTCCCGTCCCCCGAGGCCGATGGAGGAGAACGGTCAGTCGTACTGGTTCGTGTCGCGCGAGGAGATGGAGCGCGACGCCCACGCCGGCCGCTTCCTCGAGTACGGGGAACACAACGGGAACCTGTACGGCACCCATCTGGACTCCATACGAGCCGTCATCAAGGAAGGTATAATAACTCGCCTCTTGTCTGGAGCATTTTTTTTTATTGCTTAGATGGGTGGACAAGCTCACAGCCCACCTGGTGTTAAGTTGTTACTGGCGCCCATAGACATCTACAACGTAAATGCGCCACCCACCTTGAGATATAAGTTCTAAGGTCTCAAGTATAGTTACAACGGCTGTCCTACCCTTCAAACCGAAACGCATTACTGATTCACGGCAGAAATAGGCAGGGTGGTGGTACCTACCCGCGCGGACTCACAATAGGTCCTACCACCATCTACTGACGTCACACCAAAAAATTAACGTTCTATTCATTTTTAAAGCCAAATAATCCCACAACCTCTTTGGCAGTTCAGTGTGTGATCCCACCCTTAAAATTAAGGCAAACGACTGCTTTGCGGCAGAAAAATATGTAAAATTGTGGTAGTTACCCGTTCTGGCCAAATACTATGCCCCCTACCATTAATAAATAATTAAGCAAATTAATAATTTTTCGTATGGGATCTATGTTACCCGTTGTTACTCCTTCCTATTTTGTTAAGAGCATATTTACCACGAAGAAATCGTTCCTGCTCGCGGGATTTTTTGCGACTTGTTTCGAGAATATTTTAAAATGCATTCAAAATACTTGTGTAGCCAAATACGTTTTTGGGTATCAGGACTGTTTTTTTTTTTATTATTGGGTAAAATAAGCATTAATAAAGTAAAACCTCGACCCTAGATATGGATGGGCATAATTTCAAATGGAATATTTCCAAACGTATTTGATTCTAAAGTACTGAGCCGTTTTAAAATTAGGATTTCCTTAAATTATTGTTTAAATAAACATTAAACACTGAAACCATATACGAATGTTAAAATAGCTTTACTAAAATTATACCAATCTTATTGAACTTATAGTAAATACAACATATTTAGATAATAGATGAATTGAATTTTTCACTTTTATTCTCAGTGAGATTATAAATTACGTGATAAAAAAACTATTAGCTGATATATTTTCAAACGTAAATGTAGTTTGAAATCTTCGACTCGCCAAAAACGAAGAAATTGTCATAATATTATCTGATAATCGAATAATCCATCCCTACCCCTTATTATCGTCCACACATATTCTGAATGGCGAACCAAACTTACCAGCACTGCCATTGCTTCATTACTTTTGCTCTAATCTTCAATATATATATAAACACATAATATATTTATATATATATAATATAAATGTACAATAATAAATATATTATTATAATATTATTATATATTTCTTTAATTTTTCTTTGTATTTCAGGGAAGATGTGCATACTAGACTGTGCTCCGCAATCTTTGAAACTGTTACACAACAGCAGCGAATTCCTCCCGTACGTCGTGATGATAACGGCGCCTGGTATTGAGCAGCTGAAAAATCTCACTCACGCCTCCAACCGAAACTTGACCGTAAGTTGTGAAATATTCATTTAGTGAATACATAGTTCGTCGCATCGAATATTCTTGTGCTTAAAATTGTTCGTGTCAGAATTTTTATTTTATTAAATAGGTATAGTAACCGGCAAACTTCTTGAGCAAATGACCTTGACTGCGCAGAACCGAATTTTAGATCACTTTGGTGGTGAGGGTGAGGCGCGACGGCAGGAGAAATCGTATCGAGCGCGTTATTGGTAGATCAGTCGAACCTTGCGTCCCGCACCGCGCCCTCGTTCCGCTCGCTCCCAAAAGTACGCTTGCGTACAGTAAAAAGTCTATCGTTATTAATTGTTAAGTTATTTGTTATAATTGCTTGTGGACTTTGTTGCCATTTCTATTTGTTGAGTGTTTGTTGATTTTTTATAAAAAATACACTATGCCGCGACAAACTGGTGTAGTAATCAAAAGAAAGGGTAGAAAAATTGTGTACGACGTATATTGCTTCATTATAAAACAGGAGAAGGATGATGATGGTCAAGATTATGATAACGAAAAAAAAATTAGAAGTACCAGCTTCGCTTCAACTGAACGAAGACCTGGCAACAGCTCTAGTTTTGACTTAATAGAAGGAATATCTATTTTACCCCAAGATTAAATTATTACAATTATTCACCTATATTTTTTGTTGATGTTTTAATAAATATATAAATAAATACATAATATGTTTACAGAGTAAATAATGTTTTTGCACGTGAGTGTACCATGCGCGAACTTACCCCCACTACGTCGACAAATGCTCAAGAAGTTTGCCGGCTATTATACTTTTTTTTTTTTTTTTTTTAAGAGATTTTATGACCTGGTAACTGAGACCTTTAAGTCATTTCTTATTTTAATCTATATTCTTAATTTTATGAAAAATGATATTATGGAGTGAAATGAAATGAAAATGATTAATTTGAGACATTAATCAACTGGGATGAAATTAAATGAGATGATATGAGATGAAATCTAATCTCAGTAAAATGGTGGTCATTTACTAAGATTTTTCAGTGGACTTTTTGGAGGATCCCGAGAAGTTACGTNTTTTATGAAAAATGATATTATGGAGTGAAATGAAATGAAAATGATTAATTTGAGACATTAATCAACTGGGATGAAATTAAATGAGATGATATGAGATGAAATCTAATCTCAGTAAAATGGTGGTCATTTACTAAGATTTTTCAGTGGACTTTTTGGAGGATCCCGAGAAGTTACGTCCAGCGGCTTTGTTTCATTTTCCCACATTTGTACACTTTCACAGATATTAAACGGTTAATAAACCACCATTATTACACATTTAAACCCGAAGAAACACTAAATAGACAAAATAAAACAAATCACACAACTTCACTCCTCGCGTTCCCGCCAAAAAGTCCTAAATAGGTACCTTTACTTACGTCTTCATAGATTAAATCGTTAGCGTTTGACAGCGCCTGCCAACCTGAATAAATTATCTGTGCACTTTACATAAAACGTCACGTTAACTTAAATAAAAAAAAGCTTTTGAATTATTTTATAAAAAAGAAAAGCACCCAAAAAATTCAATGCAATAAAAGCAAAATAAAATCAACAAAAGAAATTTTTTTTTCATGTTCAAGTGCTATTCATTTTTACTGACAAATGGTATTTGGTCGTTTCGATGTTCACCAAATACCTAAACATAAAAGCCATTAAGATACGAAATATTTAAATAAATTATACATTGAATTTTATTTTATCATTGTAGTGGACAGATAATATAATTTAATAAGGTTTATTCGAATGTTTTTGATTGTTTTACTGGCTGCAATACAAATTGATGCTTGTAAACCGTTATGTAGTATTGATAGTACTCCTAGTTGATAATGCGATAGTAGTTTGAAGCATTTTTTTTCCAATTTTTTTTTTTTTTTTTTTTTTTTTTTTTATTGCCCTTGTAGGCAGACGAGCATACGGCCCACCTGATGGTGAGTGGTTACCGTTGCCCATGGACTTCAGCAATGCCAGGGGCAGAGCCAAGCCGCTGCCTACTGCCTACCGCAATTGAAGCGAAGCTTCTCGAGAATAAAAATAAAAATCATGAAAATAATTTCGTTACTGTAATACGTATTCATTTGAGCTACGATAAATACAAATATATTGTTCTGTGACAATAATGCATACCAGTTTAGCATTGACTTCATATCTCAATAAAAATAGCTTCTTTAGTCGACTGAATGCGCGTTAGGTGTTGATTAAAATAGTGTCACTAATCCGGCACTTTCAATACTTCTATTAAATAACCCGACACTCCCTGATCATCGTTCTCGTCGAACCCATCGCTTGCGATGTAGGGCTCGGCGAGTAAATTAACCCACAGACACAGCCCACTGAGTTTCTCGCCGGATCTTCTCAGTGGGTCGCGTTTCCGATTCGGCGGTAGATTCTGCGAAGCACGGCTAGAGTTCGTGTTAGCAACAACGTCAGTTTTGAGCCCCGTGAGCTCACCTACTCGGTGACGCTGATATGGTCTCTAAAGACCATAAGCTTAGGTAGGAAAAAAAAAGAAACGACATTAGTTATCAACAGTTCCGGATTAGTGAGTCTAGTGCATTTACGCATTTTTTATTGTTTTTTTCTAATGATTTGTCGTATCGTAATGAATGTGATGCCGGCGTTCGCTTCGTGTAGTTCGACAGGCAGAGCTCCATCCGCTACAGTTCGAGACGCGCCCGCACGTTAGAGTCGCTTGCATCCCTTTACGAAGTAAGTTTGGTTTGCCTTTTATTATTTCGTCGTTGCAAATTTAAAATCTCCTAAGTGACAGTTTACTTGTTATTTTTTTTTTAATGTATTTTGTTAGCGTCTGATGTGTATTGTAAGCCTATTAAAGAAATACATAAATAAATAAAAAAGTTTTTGGGATGCTTCCGTCATCACCTTCTACCATCGCAGAGTTCCTCCATACCACCTAGAGCAGCTCCTCAGCGCGTTTTTAGATGTTTTCAGAGCCAAAATGATGTTTTCATATATTATGAAAGTTATTTTGAATACCTATACTCAACAAAAGCTCCCATGTGCATATCTCAATATTTCACTTTATTACGCGTCAATCTTAAAAAAGCCTAAGTGTCGGTTTGCATTTTATTGTAGATCAAAGTAAATAAGAAAATATTTGATTTTTTTTCAGTAGGTAGTTTTATTAGATTTTCTCGAAAACTGACATTTATACACATAGGAGATTTCAAATTTGCATCGATTTTTATTATTTAAAAGTAAGTAGGAATTATTTTTGTTGTTAATTCTGCGCATGATTTAGTAGGTAAATCAGTAGACTTAGCAAGGTGAATCGAAATTGGACGGTAACCACTGATATCCGAAGGTTGTAATTTGTTTCATGTATCACACGGTCTAAGTTGTTTTGTTATTGACATTTAGAAGGGAAATAAAACAATTGGTAAACTGAGGAGAAAATATTAATTGTGTCGTCTTTGTATATTTTTTATATAGGTAATTCGGTATTTAATACCGAGAAAAGGTATATTCGATTTAATAAAAATTGTGAAATGTAAATCTTTTCAAAATAAATACGTACTTAACACGTGCTCACGGCGACCTTGCGCGAAGTCTATAAAACGTACCCACAAAGTATGTCTAATTCTTGTGCGTAAGCCGTATAGCCGTATTAGAGGCGTAAGCCCAGGTGGATAAATACCACGTTACGTCGTTTGAATTATGGATTAACCGTTATACAATACAATTGAGAGTCAGACCTCAATGTCTCAAATCTGGTGGCATTCACGCTGTGTTGTCTATGGATTGCGGCTACCACTTGACGCCATTTGAGCTCTGACTTCGTACACAAACTGTACGATCATTAAATAAACAATTGTAATATGTATAAACTGTATTTCTTGACGCGTCGCAAACTTGTCGAACGTATAAACAAGTACAGTAAATAAATCACATTTTACTTCACATTTTCGACAATCCTTTACTGGTGGTAGGACCTCTTGTGAGACCGCGCGGGTGGGTACCACCGCCCTGCCTATTTCTGCCGTGAAGCAGTAATGCGTTTCGGTTTGAAGGGTGGGGCAGCCGTTGTAACTATACTGAGACCTTAGAACTTATATCTCAAGGTGGGTGGCGCATTTACGTTGTGGATGTCTATGGGCTCCAGTAACACCAGGTGGGCTGTGAGCTTGTCCAACCATCTAAGCAATAAAAAAAAATAAAAAGATGATTTGTTTATTAACCTAGTTACACGGTATAGATCTTTAATATGCCAATCTAAAACAGGAAGAAGATTTGAAACAAACTCTGGAAGAGAGCGCTCGAATTCAACGACAATACGAGAAGTACATAGACTTTGTGATCACTAACAACAACTCCGATACAACCTTCTCGAAGATCTTAGACGCATTGCACGCTCTCTCTACCGACCACCAGTGGGTGCCGGTCAGCTGGATATATTAAACAAAAAAAAAACATAAAAAAAACTGCGACTGAGCAAAAAAAAAAAACAATAATTTTCCTAGCACATTATTGCCAGACTTAAATTTTTATACGCGCACATAATGTTTATAACTTACGTGATGTCAATACAATAAATAAATTACATACCACACAGCAAAAAAAATAAATATATGGCAGCCATCTGTGTAACATGTTGATTTGTTTCCTAATAGTTGTATGGTTCCGAATTGGAAACTTAAAAGGTATCGTTCATTACAATATAATTATAACAGATATAATTACAACTCAGAGTTGTATAAATTGATATGTCTGTTTTTAAACAACCTACCTACCTAGATGGATATTACTTTTAAGTTCAAAAGACAAGTTAGACTACCTATGTGATTTTTTTATTTTTTTGCCGTGTCTTTTAGTCCTTCCAGTGGAATTACAAAGCCATGAAAGGTCGCAGTGAGCAACCACGAAAATATGTAATTATTTAAATGAAATTTATAATTACTTTTTTGCAATATCTTCTAGTAACTTTGTCGTAACAAAATAAATCAATACGTTATAAGCTTATTATAGCTAGTTGAAATAGATTTAATTTCATTCAGTTATGTACCTCTCTACTTAGATAAACGGTAAATCGCAATTATTACCAAAATGTATTTCTGTTAAATCTCACTATTATTATAAAAAAATTAAAATTATATTTTACCATACAGCAACGAGTAGTGTATTATCTAACATTTTCGAAGCAACTAGTAAAATTAAGAAATGTTACCATGTTTAAAAATAATCTTTATATTGCAATAAAACTTACTTTTTACAAAATTTCATTAATAAATTGTATTTTAGTAAATTAAAGCATTCGATTTGAAATCAAAAAATAGCACAAAGCTGCTAACTGCTTTCAATTGTCATCACCTTTATTAAGTATATCATTTATGTAACCTAAATATAAGGAACGAGACATCACAGATACTACTGGATTTATTTAAACACACGCATGTGTATAAAACAACTTGAAAAGTATTATCAAGTGTACAATAATTATAAAAAATATCATATTATACAATAATATAAGTATTGTTGAGTATTGACAGAACGTGCCACATAAGCTTCGCAACGCAATCTTGGGATAAAACGAGTCATTCCATACAAAAAAAAATGTGATTACAGCTATCTTAAGCAGAGCGAGCTTCTTTTGTTAAACTCTTTAATCTCTCTCGTGAATCTCTCGTAAACTAAATCTCACTCTTGAAATTATAATATCATATTATTCTGCAAAGAGAAAGTCCCACCTTCACAGAGATGAGAAAATGATTAGATTTAGGATGTTAGGAATAATGAATGAACGATTGTATAATTGTCATAGCCTATATTTTTAACAGTTTTTGTAAGAAGCATGTTGCATTTAAAAAAGAACACGCTTTGATTTTGGATATAAAGTGGCAATTAAAAATGTTATCATAGTTTATTTGCAATTTAATAGCTGTTTTTATAAAGTCTGTATCAATGGTGGAGAGAAATTGATAGTGTTATTTTAGAAATAACTATTACGATGTATTTCCGATTGATTTCTATTGTTAATAATTCACATCACAATAATCACACGTTTATTTCAATTTTTATTTATTTATATTAAAGGTTTTGTAGAATTTGCAGTCATTCACTCTTTAATGTATAGATTATGGTGCCGATTATTTTGTCTCGGCTTAAGATTTATTAATTTTAGATTTAATTTAGTGTTTACATTCCGTCCATTTTCTTTTAATATTATAATATAATTATAAATGTTCTGTATTTTTTTCCCAATTTAGCATTATGTGATCTTTTATTTGTCTTACTTATTTTATGTAATAAATGCAAGCTATTTGAAGTAAAGCATGTTTTAATTCCTTTCTATTCATTTTATCTACGTTACGTTGTGACGTGTTGCATTCTTGTGGTGACGGGCTGATGTTTTAAATATATTCGGATCGATGTGGTTCAAACCCGTCTCGTTATTGACAGACGCCGAATTGTTTTCACTATCCGCTTTTTCAAGCAGGTGTGGTGCTAGTAACAAGAAAAGTTGCTAGAACAATGAAATTAGTTAGAAAATGAAATTTTAATTGAAAATATGTTATCGAAAACGGTCAAAGCTTCAATACTTACTTCAGCCCATGGGATCATTGGCAAATTAGCGAAAGCTGCCTGCCACCCTGGTAGCCCCAGATGCACGAGAGCCATTCTAAAATAGTGCGTGAATGAATCTGCCAACCAGCCCCAAGCGCCTTCGCGAGTTGCCAACCATATAGACCATGAGCCTCCCGTATAAACTAAACACACCTGGAAATTGAAAGTTTCAAGAAACTTTGCATTCGTTCATGCCTAATAATTGACGTTTCGACGTCGTTATTCAGTAACTACTAATACCCTGACGTAACGCTTAAAAAAACACGAAGTTACAATATTGTAACAATAAGATATATAAACAAATACAAAATACTCCTCGTAAATTTCTACCTTGCCAATGTATCTGCAGATATCTAATTCAAAAACTTTGCTTTTGGTATTTAAAACGGGTCTCGGACCAGTGTTTTGTCGTGTCATTGAAAAATCTAAAAGATCTTTCAGTGATGACGACAGACACAGCTCGTTCAATGTATTAACTCGAATCGAACCCACCGGTAAAATCTCATCGGCTGTAACAAAAGACAAAATTAAAAACTTATAAACACGAGCAATAAAAATAAAAACAAATCGAAAAACTTTCCAGAATACTTGTAGTGCCAAGTTAGCTGAAAACCGTCACTTGAACCATAGAAGTTCCTAAGATCTTCGGGTAGTACAGCGGAATGTCTTTGTTCCCAATTAGACAGTGCTACTCTATCACAAGGTGCACGACGTTCCACGCTTACATTACAAATTCGTGGATCTGACTCTGAAAAATGTTACATATATTAATACCTTTTTTTAATAATTACCGGAGCTCATAAACACTGCAGCATTAAAACAACAATCGTGTTCAATAAACAAAAAAAATTGTATTTAAATAATTCGAAACGGGTAGTTTTAACTAAAAACCTCACAATGACATTTGCTTTAAATTTAAAAAATGATTGCATTTGAAATGCAACTAAAATACTTCGAACATTTTAAGGTGGATGACGACATTCACGTTGTTAAATCAATCTAAACCAGTAATATAATGTCAGGCAGACCGCGAAATTCTCTTCCGATTGAAAACAAACAAACAGCTCCGAAATGTGGGGCTCCCATCATTGTTACGAGAAGAAAATTAGGCAAGTTTTAAGCACAATCGTACATTCTTGAAACAAAAAGATTCGTCAAAAAGTAAACTACACACTAAATATTTTTATTTGTAAATCTTTATTGCAACTTTACTCTTTTGATATACAAATTATATATATATAGTCACTTTACCGAACTATTTTTAAAAACTCTAATCTAAACGTAGTGTCTACGCTCAGAGAAAGAATCATAGTTGGGATAAAGATTATCTTTAAAAACGGTATTTGTAAAACCATTTTCAATATGGATTAAACACATTTTCAATATGGATTAAAATTCAAAAAATCACGCTGTTACACTATAGGTAATGCGACCTTCCTTACTTTCACTTAGGGGCTTAATCAAGCCCCTGATATTGCTGTCATCCTCAGGCGACGGTAATGATTCGTGACCAAGTGTCCCTAAGCTCCCTACAATGTTTATTTAAAAAAAACTTACTAAGTGAAGCTTTTAACAACGAGAATGAAAATTAATTTCAACCCCTAAACACCTACGGTATTGTCGTATATGGGAGTGTCGATTGCATTCCCTTTGCCTACTCAATAGGCGAATCAAACAACAAAAACCAGCGAGTAGACGAGTACGGTGGGATCGGAATGGATCACAAGTTTCTAACCTAATGAACCTACAATTCCTACAAATTAACATTAAAACTGTCAGAAAAATAACTTTGGTTCATAATCATAAAAACAGTGGTAGAAATATTATAGAAATAAGAATACAATTATATACAATAAAATTATTGAAATAATAACAAATGCATTAATAATAGGTACATGTGTAATTAATAGTAATTATTCTGAGCATAACACATAAATATGAAGAATTCCAACGCAGGAGTTTGTGCAATAAAAGATGAATATGTGTTACAAAAATCCAATATAATTGAAGAAAAATCACACAATCTTGAAAAACGTAAACTAGATGAGAGTTCCGCTTCATTTGATGATAACAATTTAGAATTTAAGAAAACTAAAATAGAAACAACTGAGGATAAAAACGATTCTAAAACTAAAAAGCGAGGCCAAAACAAATCTCGACCAAAAATATTCAAAGATGGCAAGGAAAGCAAACCATGTCCCACTATCCTTGATGTCGAATCTTCAGAACAATTGAAAATTTGTCAATATAATAATTGTAAGTTTATACATGACTCAAAACAATTCCTTAACAGTAAACCTAAAGATATTGGAGATCAATGCCATGTCTATAAAGTTCGTGGAAAATGCCCGAGAGGAATTGCTTGTCGATATGGTTCTGATCATATCACTGCTGATGGATTTAATATAGTTAATAGAGAAAAATTTGATCAATGGAAAGACGACACAAAGAACACCTTACAACCCTCTCTTCAAACACAGTTGCAAAAGAAAAAATATAATTTTGATTTAGCTGAAAAACTTGTGAAACATCTAGACACCAGAAATAAGTCTGTTGACAAAAATTTAAATACTAGTGCTGATGTTGGTGAAGATATCAAAATTGGTGCTGTAACTGATGAAGACTTAATTAAACTGTTACCCAGAGAGAGAAAAACCATTGACTGGAACAACAAGCTATATCTTAGTCCTCTAACTACAGTAGGGAATTTACCGTTTAGAAGAATTTGCAAAGAATTTGGTGCTGATGTAACTTGCGGTGAAATGGCATTGTGTGAATCATTATTGAAAGGATTAAAACAAGAGTGGGCACTGGTTAAAAGACATGAAACTGAAGATCTATTCGGAGCTCAAATATGTGGCAATAATCCTTACATAATCACTAAAGTTGCACAATTATTACAAGAAAATACAGAGCTTGATTTTATAGACTTAAACATAGGGTGTCCCATTGATTTAATCTACAAAAAAGGTGGAGGAAGCGGAATGATGCATAGATTACCTGCATTAGAAACCTCTGTTAGGTGTGCTTCAAAGCTATTAAGTATACCATTTACAGTAAAAATGAGAACAGGTGTATATCAAGATAAAAAAATTACACACACTATTGTACCAAAAATGTCAAACTGGGGTGCATCTCTGATCACAGTTCATGGAAGGTCTAGAGAAGCAAGGTATACAAAGTCTTCAGATTGGGAGTACATAGAAACATGCGCCCAAGCAGCAACACCATGTCCAGTATATGGCAATGGAGACATTTTTAGTTATGAAGATTATGTAGAAATGAGAAAAATTGCACCAACTGTCAAAGGTATTATGATTGGACGTGGAGCCCTTATAAAACCATGGATATTCAATGAAATAAAAGAACAAAAAATATGGGACATAAGCAGTAAAGATAGATTTGAAATTTTGAAAAAATATTCAAACTATGGATTGGAGCATTGGGGTAGTGACACACAAGGAGTCGAAAGTACACGACGATTTTTACTTGAATGGCTATCTTTTTTATACCGATATGTTCCTGTTGGATTATTAGAAAGGCCTCCGCAAAGGATCAATGAAAGGCCTCCTACTTATTTTGGTAGAGATGATCTTGAAACATTGATGGCGTCAAGCAACTGTACAGATTGGATAAAAATCAGTGAAATGCTATTAGGTCCTGTTCCAGATGGTTTTCAATTTCTACCTAAGCACAAAGCTAATTCTTATTAAATAATTTGAAATGGGCACCTGTTTTTTTTTTTTTTAATCTAACTATAGTATATTTTTATTAAAACTTTAGATACCTAATTACAGAAGAATAGTAAATATAATCCCTTAATAGTAACGCGATTCTCAGTCCAAAATTGTAACCTCACAAAACCTGAATCATTAATAGTACAGTCAAAACATACCTAGTAGTTTAGTTACGCCCAAAGTAATATTTTCATAAAAAGAATCTTCTGAAACTAAATCAACACAAAAACTCATGTTTAATGTAAAAATAGACTATAATAACAAAATTAAATGACAATATTCTCCATAAATAGATACTACTTGTTAATGCTATGGTTACCAAAAAATTACATTAAAAACATGACAACGTATGAAAGAGACCTGTACGTATTTTTTCCTCTTGCTACAACTAGGGTGACGTCGAAGTTTTGAAGTCATAAGACGACGAAGGATAAGACGTCCGGTGCATTCGTATCGAGCGATGCACCGGTGTTCGAATCCCGCAGGCGAGTACCAATTTTTCTAATGAAATACGTACTATCAAATGTTCACGATTGATTTCCACGACGAAGGAATAACATCGTGTAATAAAAATCAATCCCGCAAAATTATAATTTGCGTGTTTATTGGTGGTAGGACGTCTTGCGAGTCCACACGAGTGGGCACCACCACCGTCTATTTCTGCCGTGAAGCAGTAATGCGTTTCGGTTTGAAGGGTGGGGCAGCCGTTGTAGGTAGGTACTGTAAAAACTGAGACCTTAGAACTGATGTCTCAAGGTAGGTGGCGGCATTTATGTTGTAGACGTCTATGGGTTCCGGTGACTACTTAACATCAGGTGGGCCGTGAGCTCGTCCACTCACATAAGCAATAACAAAAAATAAAAACCTGAAAGCATTTAATGGTGGATTTCAGTACTATTGATGACCGTTATTTGAATGACCTCTTCAACCAAAAAACAAGTCTTTTTTTTTTCTCCCACCTATGCTGATTGCCTTGAGGCTATTTAAGCTTCACCGTAACGTACTATACTGTAGGTGAGCTCACAGGGTTCAAGCCGGGAGTACTGCTAACACTGGCCCCAGCAAGAGCAGTGCTTCGCAGAATCTATCGCCGGATCGAAAATGCGACTCACTGAGAAGATCCGGCGAGAAACTCAATGGGCTATTTTTTTATTATTATTGCTTAGATGGATGTACGAGCTCACAGCCCGCCTGTTGTTAAGTGGTTACTTGAGCCCATAGACATCTACAACGTAAATGCGCCACCCACCTTGAAATATAAGTTCTAAGGTCTCAGTTTATTTAGTTACTGTGCCGTCTATGGGTTAATTTACTCGTCGAGCCCTTCGTCACAAGCGACGGTTTCGGCGAGGACGGTGACCGGTGTTTGAAATACCTAAAAGCACCGTTAATGGATCGGGAAGATCCGTAATGTCGACTGTTTACCATTCGGTCCACAGGATCGGGTATGTAATTTCTGATGGCCACGACAAGAGGGTTTTCGTGTAGTGCCGCCTTCTCAAAGAATATGAGGTCGAAATCGAAATGAATTGTACAGAGTTGTCCCACTCACCCTTCAAACCAAAACTTACTACCTCGCGACGAAAATTTGAAAAATGCTAACTACGCGATCTTTAAAACTTAACATCAAGACGGGACAAGTTACAAACATGACAAGTTATTTTAAGTCATACCCCATGTAATAGCAGTTTTTAGATTATAAGAATTGGGACTACTACGCGATTCCTAGAACTTGTCTGCTATTCTCAGTTGATCTGTTGAGAAATAGGATTCAAAGTTAGGTTTTCTTTTAGTATACTTTTAATGTAGTCTATCGAAATACCTTAAAACGAAGTTTTTTATAGGCATATACATGATTAATAGAATAACAACCTTTGCTTCGCACTGAACACATGTAATCTAACTAAGTAGAACCTTGAAAATAAATAACATTTCTATTTTATACTTTATTTTTGTTCACATTACAGAAATTTACATGAAAAGAGTTATCTCTAAAAGTTTGCATCAGATTCATAAGTTACCTAAAAAATTAAATAGGTAAATTAGTACCGTCTTTAATAAACGGTGCATCTTGTGCACTATGAAATGTAGTAGGTAAAAAATTATCCCTACATCTACTCATTACAAAAAATGTTTATTATACACTATATTTTATGATATTAAAACTTATCAGCAAACAAATCAAGCGAATGTCAACAGACAAACATGTAAACCATCACTTTGCACCAATCTAGTGTGAGCAAGCGAAGAAAACCTAGTCAATCTTAGTACTTATCAATTTGAACTGACAAAACCGAGCGAATGCTAGCAAATCCCATAGTCCTTAATTCATTTTCAACCCTTGTCCGCTAAGATTGGCTAACAAGTGCACATGTGTCTCGGATGTTCAGTTTGTACGGCTAGCAGAACTTGTGAGAACATTCGTTCCCATCAAAAATTCTTAGCCTCTATTTCTTAACTTGCTTACATTGGATTTATGCACATTTTTAGTTGTGATTTAAAGTAATATGATTTGAAAACAAACAATTTTTTTTAAATTCAATTTAATATCTTGCCGCAAGTTTTTATATTTTATTGAAATGCACTTTACCAGCATGTATTGGAGTTTATTTGTGTCCTCCATGCAAGTAGCATCAGTAGGGTTGCCAAGTGATCATTATTGCACTTTTCAATATTTGTCAAATAATAAACTGTTTAATATGATGCATTTTAAGTTCTTATTTCATAATCATTATTTATATTTAGTAAATGATGTATTTAAATTACCGTCAAATTTAAAATGTAAGAGACCACATATTGTAATCAATGTGCACAATATTTAATCTATTAAAGTAGATTATTCATTGATGTTTCGCAGCCTTATGCATAAGACTATTTGATTTAGACTGGCTGTTGGGCTTTAAGCTAATAAATTTTGCATTTTTCTAATAAATTTCGGATTTTCCCAAATGATAGATTTAATTACTTATAGAGCCGCTCCACATATTACACTAAAATCATGGTATATAGTGTCCTAGATCCACAAAAATATGTGAATCGGTTCCACGTTCATTATTAAGGTGTTGTTCTCCCTAATCTCCCATGAAAGTGCAACAGCCCTAACAATAAGACGAGCACATTAAACGTTATTAAATTACTGGATTAAATTTTTTAGTCTTAAAAAATGCCGATTCGTTTTCCATCTTTTTTTAAATCAATATGTGCAAATGTTCACAAAATTATTATGGATATGATACAATCATGGAATGAAACAATAATGAATAAACCAGATTAGGTCGTGCAAGGCGTGTTGCGATGTTTATCGTCTTCTTCGTCGACGGGAATCACCATTGTGACCGTTTTCTGTAAAAAAAAAAACACATTTTCGTTAAAACTTTAAAAAATTTGTGTTTGCAGATATTTAAAGTAAAATAACAAAACAACTATTTTGCAGTTGTCTGTTATAATAATAATCATGGTGCGGTGAAAACAAGAATAGGATATAGCCAATTTTGCTAACAGTAAAATTTCTTTCAAAAGTGGTCTTAATTCAGCAGAAAAGGCTCCACCATTAATTCATTTAGGGAAGTAATATGTTTAAATTTCAAATCAGTGATTTAAGATATTTGTAGTTTGGACTGAAAGAATTTGATCATGTTTTTTCTTTCATAATTTGAAAACGACTATGCCTAAGTGTCGATCCTGTTCTTATTTTCTTTTGCACAGTTTACGTTTTATTTTAATACATGAATTATGTACCGTTTAGTAATATTGTAATAAGGCATTCGTAGTAAATGTGTGTGTATATGTTTGTGCGTATCAATATGAGGTAAGTTTGCATTGGTTTGAATATAACAAACCTCCAAAGTTCACCGTCGGCGATTCCTCTGGCGGTCATTATACCCCATGGAGCCATTCGCCTGCGCATCGCTCAGTCCTGGCTGCAACATGCTGTAAGGTCTGTCAGGTCCAGAGTTTTGTTGCTCATAATATTGTATGGGTCCATTTTGTTCATCATTATTGTAACCTTCATTACCTTCTTCATTTAAATGTTTATTTTTGGGTCCATAAGAACCAAAAGCAGTGAAGTTGGCGCCATTTGACCTATTATCAGCACCATTTTGAGGGAGCATGCGCGGCAGTAGGCTCCCATGGGGTACACCAGGACCGCCAGAGAGACCGTAGCCAGAAGACTGGCCCAGGCCGCCGCCCTCGGAGCCTCCGAGTCCATAAGACCCGAGGCCACCAGAGTTGAGACTGTCGGAGTCACGGTTGTCATGATCACGTCCTCTTCCACGACGGCGCCTATCTCGGCCTCTAGACCGTGGTCCAGAAGACTCGGAGCCAAGGCCTCCACCGGAACCGTTATCAGCTCCGAGACCTCCACCAGAGCCGAGACCTCCGCCGGAACCCAGCCCACCGCCAGTGCCGAGCCCGCTGCTAGAGCCCAAGCCCCCTCCAGATCCCAAATTATTGCTTGAGCCGAGACCTCCACCAGAGGCGGGGGGGCCTGTAGAGCCGCTGCCCAAGCCGAGGCCGCCGGAACTAGATCCATAGACTCCTCGTTTTCTGGAATCTAACTCAAGGCCACTTTGGCCTGAGCCTCTACCGTGAATCCCATTAGCCATATCGGATGGAGGTGGCGGAGGAGGAGGTGGAGGAGGTGCAGACCAACCACCAGAAGACATCATAGGATTAGGGGCGAAGTTTGGTGGTAACATCATACCATATTGATCAGCAGGGAAAAAAGGAGGCATTACAAAAGGGGGATTATTCATAGGTGGTGGAGGTATTGACATATTCATTTGGGGATTTAAGGCCATTAAAGGGGGTATCTGAGATGGAAGCGGATGCTGTGGTTGGTGTTGGTTTTGATTTTGATTATTATTACCGTTACTACTATTAATACTCCCATTTTCAGTCATGTCTGTTCTATTAGTATATGGTAACTCGTTTTTGGAAGGTGGGGTTGGTGGACATCTGTTATTAAACCTATCAGGGACGGGAAGTTGTGGGCCAATGGGAGTCGGTAAGAGCGTTTTCGGTGTAGGTAACAATGCCTGAGGCGCCGGCTTCGGCGTGATTTCCACAGAATCCTTCACTGGACTGCACTTGCCTGAACGTGATCGACTACGAGATCGAGACCGGGATCGGGAACGGCTTCTTGACGATCGGGAAGATTTGCTTCTCGACGACCTCGAAGAGCTATGGCGGCGGCGGCGTCGGTCTCGTGAACGCGATCGTGAGCGAGTACGACGTCTCCGCGACCTAGATCGAGACCGAGACCGTCTGCGACGATACCGACCACCTCGTCCGCGATGACCTGAAAAGGTTTTTAATTTTACTTGTTTGTTATGTTGACGTAAATATTCAACCAATTATTTATAAAGAGGATACATACGTCGCCCACCGCCACCACCACCGCGTTGTTCGGAAAGTTCTTGCAATTTTGGATTTACAACTTGTTTAGCTTCCTTCAATACAGAAATCAAATCTGAAGCCTTAGCAGCATTCGAAGGCGTAAAGAAAGTGTATGCAGTTCCAGTTTTGTTTGTTCTTCCTGTTCTTCCAATCCGGTGAACATAATCTTCAGAGTTGCTAGGATAATCAAAATTGATGACAAATTTCACATCATCAACATCTAAAAAAAGATTTCAATAGTTAGTATAGTTTTTTATATTTTTATCAATAAATTTGATAGCAGATGTGTGTGTGTATTGAAACAGTGTAACAGTGAAGATAAAAATTCTTTTAAACATACCTAATCCTCTAGCTGCTACATCAGTTGCTACAAGAATAGGAGCTTTTCCACTACGAAAATCTGCAAAAGAGTATTTAAATCAAATGTGGTTCGACACTAAGGAAAAATGGCTATCTGAAATATTATATCATACACTATAAGAGTTAATATACTAGTGAATAGTATAACTATATTTGCTATTCAAAGTAATTAACTTAATGTTGTTTTTATTTTATTTTATAATAGTAGTTAAAACATTAAACTAATAAGGAATGAGGTCTAAGGTATTTGTCAAAAGTAACAAAAAAAAACATTTGAATATTAACATTATAAAAGATATTTTAGGTGTGTACACAACAGTTATTTACTGTCTCTTACCTTTCAGCTGATTATGTAATGTGCATGATTTTTTTTTGTTAATGGAATGGTATTATAATATATTATGTATTGTTATATAGCTTATAACAATACATAACCCATCAATGAAAGTTCATAACAATTTCATGACAGGAAGCTTTCTCTATTTATTCCATTTTTAATTATGAATTAAAGAAATTTATCACTTTTGGGGACTTTTGTTTTTGAAATTAAAATACGATTAGCTAGTTGACTAGTATCATACTTATAAATTAATTTTATATAAAAAAAAACGAATTAAAAAAAGAATTCTATTTTTAAATATTAATTAACTAGAAATTTACATTTAAGAAATCAATTTAAATATATCTTAAATATTTACTGAATTTTTTTTTAATTAATTGAAAATTTCATCACTTTTCAAGGTGATGGCATCATTAATGGCATAAGAAAATGAAACCGTTGCCTCAAAATATTTTGACCTGTGACAAGGAACTCCTTTCATCAACGTCACCTGTTATTTAATAAATAATTTCATAATTTCTACTTGTTCTACAAACTAAAAACAGGTAAGTACAATATATCTGAAAACATTTTCAGATTATTTTTCATTGCATTGTTAATAATAATAATAATAATAATAAATGTTCAAGATATTACTACCTTTAGTTGAAATTAGAAGTGTTTTGAGGTTCTTAATAAAATTATAACAAAACTGTCATTTGAGGCATAAACACAATAAATAAGATCATAGGTTGAAGTATTCGTTTTCTATGTTAATTTGTTTCTTTTTTTATTTCAATAAAACCAAACAATCATGACAGAAATGGACAAAGGTCAAACATATTTGATTAAAAAAATTGGTGGTTTAAGATTAATTTTCTTAAACCTCAAAATGGTTTTTCAATCAAAGAAATAAAAAAATAGTTAATGCCCATTGTCTACTGAAAAACAAGTTATATCAGTTATGGACAATAGAAGTGTTTGAGTTTTTCATGAATATGGAGTAAGTGTGTTCAGTGCCTTTCTGCAAGCAAGTGTATGGCTAAATTTGTATCACGCACGACCTCTGATTTCATTACTTGTTAAATTATGCTCTCTCTCTAGCATAATATTAAAAAGCTATTTCTGATCAATTTTGTTTCAACTAATACGCTTCCAATCTATTCAGTTTTCTTATTTTCCACAAAAAATCAGTCAACTTGTCTATTTAAAAAAATTATGTACACCCATACACAAAAGAAAATCACTCAAAACACATGAAAAAGTAAATAAGTTTGAAAAATAACATTGAAAGAAAAAAACTTCGCCCCAAATTATTGAATAGACATCATTCATTTCTTCACCCATATTGCTAACTTACTAATGTGGAGAACTCCGTAAGTATATAACACTTACGGATTCGAGCACGTTAAACAAAATCAAGATCGAGCGAAGCCGGGCGTCGCACTAGTGGTTGCGAGCCGAGAACGGAAAGCCGAGCTCTGGGCTCGAGGGGCACCGACACGGGCGCTGCACTATGAACCAGCGCCAGCACGCCCATCGCGAGAAGCGGCTCAGCAGGGCTGCGGGAGCGAGCCCGAGTGCGTGGGGGCTTAGCCCCGACTACGTGCAGCCGCGGCGCCGCCCCACCAGGCCGGCCGCAGCTCCCCGCCTGCACATCACACGCAACATTTCAGAAAATGTCACTCACTGCACGCTCCCGCTGCACTCATGATCACGCTGCACAGACACCGCTTCTCGTCTCTTCTTTTGCCTCTTATTGTTACATTTGTTGTGGAAATACTTTGCTAGTGCACAATTTGCAGTTTCAAATGGGGTTCATAATAAAATAATCACATTTAATCAATCTTACCTTGAAGCACCCAATCTCTTTCATTTTGTGATTTGTCACCATGAATACACACTGCTGGCCATCTGAGAAGATTTTTCATTACATAAATACAATTATTCTTACAAATTGATCTGCTAAGATTATTGAATGTTATTTATTGAATTCGGGATATATATTATATTAGATATTTTATATATTATTATATATAAGAGCTTATTAAAACAAGGGAACTTAGATTTCTGGGGCCAGATGTATTAATTTGAGTATTTAATAATGGTGATTTGTTATTATTTTATAAAGTTTAGAAATTCTGCAGTTAAATCACAAAAACAAGAAAAAAAAAAAAAAAAAATGAAATACCTAAATAAGAATTAAATCACTTTTCACAGTATACTCATATTAGCGACATATTAAACTATTCTTTCATTCCTTACATTTCTGAGATGTACAATAGCTATAATTAACATTTTTATTTGTACCTTTTTTCAGATTACTAGAATATTCCCTAAGCTGCCTGCCCATACTGCCTACAATCTAGTACTATTTTGTATAAACGTTTTTTTTTTTAATTGAAAATGTCAGTAATTTTTTTTTATATACTATCTCTTTACCCAGTATTATTTGACACCAAGTGCTTATGAGTTATATCCTTCTATAGTTACATATACTAAATTACTCCAATTTTAATCAGATAATTTGAAAGTATCTCACTTTTATTAAATGTTAGCAATTGTTTAATAATATTTCAGTTATTCATTGACATCACTTTCATCATTTTACATCTCATACTGAGATATGTATGAAAGTCTACTTTTTTTCCACATATAACATCAAAAATGTTAATTATAATTTGAAAAAATATGCTGTTATTTCAAATGCGACTACTGTATCAATTTCAGAACACCATAAATACCTCAACAACATTCAACAAAGCTCTACCCCTTAACTCCAGCTGGTAGTTATTTCAGACCTCTCCTAAGAGCATTTTTACATTTATATCAACTATTTTGTTCATATTACTTACCCGTCACGTTTCATTTTTCTAGTTATATCATCAACGCGCCTTTTGGTTTCAATAAATATAATAGTTTTATTTTCTTTTTCAGCCATGATTTCTTTTAATAGAGTACTCAGTTTGGTTTCTTTTTCATACTCCATGCATACATCAATTATTTGTAATATATTATGGTTGGCAGCAAGTTGTAAAGAACCAACATTAATTTGAAGATAGTCTTTAAGAAACTCTGAAGCCAAGCTTTGTACTTCTCTAGGCCAAGTTGCTGACCACATGAGAGTTTGACGATCAGGCCTTATTTGCTCAATAATTTTCCTTATTTGAGGTTCAAAACCCATGTCCAACATTCTATCAGCTTCATCAAGAACTAAGTATGTACAACGTTTCAGATTTGTACGTCCACTTTCTAAGAAATCAAGCAATCTACCAGGTGTTGCAATCACTATTTCTACACCTGCATCTAAATCTCTTGCTTGTGGTCCTTTAGGTGCACCTCCAAACAAACAAGTGTTGTGAATTTTTGATGTATTTGCAAATTTATCACAAACTTCTTGTATTTGTTGGGCTAATTCTCTAGTGGGTGCCAGTACCAGTGCTATTGGTCCATCCCCTCTACTGGACTTAGGTTGATTGTTAATATGTACAATTGCAGGCAATATATAGGAAAGAGTTTTTCCAGAACCTGTTGATGCTATTCCTACCATGTCATGGCCACTAAGAGCAATAGGCCAACCTTGGGCTTGAATGGGTGTAGGCTTAGCAAACCCCATTTTATCTATTTCATCCATAACATAATCTGGAAAACCAGCCTCATCAAAAGTAAGTGTTGGTTTTGGTATATTTCGACCTTTCAAAGTAATTTCATTTTCACTTCTCCAGGCTTCAACATCCGATTCAGGTCTCTTTTCAACGTCTAAATGTGGGACATAAAAATCTTTCTTAAATGGTTTTAAACGACTCAAGTCCCACTTAGGTTTCCGAAGGCTGGCTCCCGGGTTACTTCTGCGTCCACCACCGCCATAACCACCACCACCACCACCTGAGCCCAGTCCATAACGAGGGCTTCTGCTACGACTGCGACTCCTACTTCGGCTTCGAGATCGACTGCGACGCCTATCACGACTACGGTCCCTATAAAGAAATTTAATACAACTAAATACAACACATTATTAAATAACTTCTGTAAAAATTATACAAAAAGATTCTTCAAAAACAACCATGCGTATGAATCAAGTTATAATTTATAAGCGTTACCTTCCGCGGCCCATTGTGTTTTTAGCTATACAAACGATGATGCAAAACACCTAATTCTAATTATAATCTGATTTATTAAATGTAGGCACTTTTTTCTCGTAAATGTTGAACTTAGTGTTCAAACTTATTAGCGCACCGATAAACGAAACGATCTAAATGATCTCAATGAACTACAAAACAAGATGGCGAATGGCGCTGGATGGAAAATATCGGACATTTTTTAAGAGATTTTATGACCTGGTAACTAAGACCTTTAGGTCAAGTTTTATTTTAATTTATATTCTTATTTCTATGAAAAATTATAATATAAAGTGAAATGAATTGAAGTTGATTAATACGAACTATGGCATGAAATGAAGTGAAATGAAATGAGATGAGATGATATGGATGAAATATAATCTCAGTAAAATGGTGGTCATTTACTGAGACTTTTTCAGTGGACTTTTTGCAGTATCCCGAGAAGTTACGTTTAGCGGCTTTGTTTCATTTTCCCACATTTGTGCACTTTTAGTCATGTCTTAGATTAATTTATATTCTTATTTTTATGAAAAACCAGCTGACCCGGCAGACTTCGTAGTGCCTCAATCAATAAATAAAAGACCTAAGTTTTTTGTATAAAATAAACATAGAACAAACAAAAGGAATCCATCCGACGGGGGACACATCAAAGGAAAAACGAAATTGTTATTTTTATTTAATTCCGAGTATTTTCATATTACCTTTTATACCTTCTCTGGACTTCCACAAATTATTCAAGACCAAAATCAGCCACATCGGTTCAGCCGTTACCGAGTTTTAACGAGACTAACGAACAGCAATTCATTTTTATTTATAGAAGATAGATAGAAAAAGAAGATGAAGATGATAATATGGAGTGCAATAAAATGAAATGAAATGACGTTGATTAATTTGAGATATTAATCTTCTTCTTTTTTTTTTTTTTATTGCCCTTGTAGATAGACGAGCACACGGCCCACCTGATAGTGAGTGGTTACCGTCGCCTATGGACTTCAGCAATGCTAGGAGCAGAGCGGAGCCGCTAAGATGATATGGAATGAAATATAATCTCAGTAAAATGGTGGTCGTTTACTGTGATTTTTTCAGTGAACTTTTTAGAGGATCCCGAGAAGTTTCATTTTCCCACATTTTTGCACTTTAACAGCTAATAAATCACCGTTATTACCCATTTAAACCTGAAGAAAAACTAAATAGACAAAATAAAACAAATCACACAACTTTACTCTTCGCGTTCCCGCCAAAAAGTTCAAATATCGGACAGTATCGGTAAAACCTAATAGTGAAGATCGGCTCATCGAGACGAACGAGTCAATTCTCGAGTATTCGAATACTAAAGGTGCTCGAACACTGACTCAAGTAAAATTGAGCACTAAATGTATTAGTGTCAAAGCGTGACGTGACGTGAGTGTTGAGATATTGTCATGTAATTAAATTAAACGTTAGATAACTGGTTGTAAAATTCCAACTTGTCTTCTACTTTACGATTTTTTTATATGTTTACATTAGGCCTCTTTTAGTATGTAAGCAGAAAGTTTTTTTTTTGTAAATAATAATATGTCCTTTTTTTCTTTAACCTTAACTAGCAGGTGAGCTCACGGGGCTCACACCTGACGATGTTGCTAATACGAACCCTAGCAAGAGCCGGGCTCTACCACCGGATCGGAAACGTGACCCACTGAGAAGATCCGGCGAGAAACTCAGTGGGCCTCGAGTATCTTTTTTTTGTTTTCCTACCTAAGCTGATAGCCTTGAGAGGCTATATCAGCGTCGCCTTAGCTAGTAGGTGAGCTCACGGGGCTCAAACCCGATGACGTTGCTAACACGAACCCTAGCAAGAGCCGTGCTTCGCAGAATCTACCACCGGATCGAAAACGCGACCCACTGAGGAGATCTGGCGAGAAACTCAGTAGGCGTTGTCTGAGAGTGTCGAGTGCCAACTCGTTTCTTTATGTTATTAATATTCGTGCCAGTATCCATAATTAATTATAAGGACCACTTTAAGTAGAAAAGATCCTAACGGGACGATATTGCCGTAGTATTACGAATTCAAACTAATTTATGGGAATCTTCGCACAGAATAAACTTAATGTGTATAATTTGAAGCATCCCATGAGACATGAAATGATGATCAAAAGTCTGTAAAAATATATAAGCGCTATCTTATATTACATGTCCAAAATGTTTAGGCTATAAGTTCTAGTGATTATAATATGCGAAAGTCCATGCTAGAAATTAAGTTTGTAAAATGTAAGCATCTTCATAATAATTGTTCTCCACATACTGATATGAAATGTCGTTGATGAAATTTAATGTGGAAATATGACTTCTATAAAGCTGCATACATAATCGTGTTCTATAACTAAACAGCATCTAAGAATCACGACTAGGGGATATAACGACTCTTGTAAAAATGTAAAGGCGATGAAATGATTCGCCCTGCCTGTACTTACGCAGTACGCTCAAAATTCGTGCCAATTAAAAATCGAGTTTTTAAATATCTCAATCAGTTTTGCATTCCAACAAGTTACCTATTACATGTTCGATTCCATATCAGTTTAAAATTAACATTATTCAGACTGACGGCAAATGGATTGCGTAAACTGCGGCAAGCAAGACTGACATCAATCGTCATGAAGAGAATGTCATTTATATGATTTAATCTTAAGTGCCTAAAATTTCATGCAAAAGGCTGGGATCCATTTTCTGCGTTGTTGTTGTGACATTTTGCGATCTCGTTGCTTGAATGAAGGACTGAAAGCAAAATTTAATCTACCTAAAAAAATATATATTTTCGGACTTTATTATACTCATGAGACACTGAACATTTTAAGATGTGTGAGAATAAAATTAGTACTTAAGCCGCTTTTAAAAACAATGGGTTGAAAGTAAGGAGTATGATAGCATGAAGCAATTTCCGTTTTAAAGCAATAATGGAGCTTAATCTAACTCCTTCGGATACTGGAACCACCATGGAATATTCGGATAACTCTTCGGACTGCAAATATGTAATGAACAATAATGAACAGTATTCAGTTATAAGAATACCCGAGGACAGTGAAAAATCGAGTAAGCATTCGTCCAGAAAGCAATCTAAAAGAAGAAAAAAGAGCTCTAATCATACGAGAACTCTTCCACGAATTATAGTAAAACCTTTGCCACCTCCGCCACCACCTGAAACACGAGAATGGATGGCAGCTTCATCCTATACAGAACCGCCTCCCAATACGAGGCCATCAACAATGCGCGAAGTGTTGGCCAGCATTCCAGGATTTTGCCTAAAGCCTCGTAAACGCAACAGTAAAAAGCTATCTACTGCAGCTCAACTTCAGCAAACTCGGGAAGGCTGTATTGATTTGGAGACACCGGATTCAATATTAGTAAACACTAATATTAGGGCTTTACTGAATAAGCATACATTCTCACTGTTGCCCCCTTTGTATCAATATAAGTTGGGTCAGTTATTACCCAGTGTAGACAGACTCACTCCTTCAGGCCGTTTGAATTCTTCTAGTCTTAATAATGAATTTTTTGCTAGAGCTTGTATAGAGTGGCAAGAAAGTCTATCTGGAGGTGAGTTCACACCAGAGAATCAACAGAAAATGAAGACTGAAGCTGAAAGGGAAAAAAGTAAGATAGACCCATGGAAAATAAAACATTTTGAACCATTCTGGGGAGAGAAGCTTAGAAAAGAAAAATCTTCTGTGAACTTAAATTCTGAAAGACCATCTTTGAAGACTACAATAAAGTTAAGACCCACTGCTTCAATTACCAGTAGCAGTACTGTTCCAAAAATAAAAAAGAATAAGTCCTCCAGTACCAGCAAAAGAATGCGCTCAGTTGGTGCTGTTACCAGATCTTCATGTAAAACTGATGAAATAACTGATGATTCTGTTGGAATCAGCACTAAATCATCAGCACCTGTTCCAGATCTATTACCTATCAAACATATTAAAAACCAAACACAAAGCTACGAAGAGTGCCAGGTTGATTTTAATTTCTCAGATTCCTCATCTACACAGAGGATTGATGATTCTGTCTCCTCAACACCAGTAGATCCATTACTATTACCTGATACTGTGTCTGACCGAAGTGAACTTAAACAAGAATCAGATATCTCAGCAGTGACCATTGAAGATTCAATCCTATTGAAAGATAGTCCGAAAGTAAAGGAAGATATAATTGATTCAGATAGTAACTCACATGAACCTCCAAAGAGATTAAGTGATGATAATGAAGAATATAATACAGCTAAGAGGATAAGGTTTGAAGGAGATTATGCTATGGATAATGCTAGTTTTATGCCTCATAATACAGATTCAAGCATTATTAATTACTCAGACACAGAAACAAATTATGGCAACGAGCAAGTGTGCCCTAATAATGAGATTTTATATGTGAGACAAGATCATCCTGATACAAACAGTGAAGATAGTAAAGCAACACCGTCAGGTTATGAATATGATGAAAGAAGTGAATCTTCTATCTCAAGTTTGAAAATAGAATCACACAACATAACTAATGTTACCGTCGCAATTGAAGAAAGTGAAAATATAGAAACTGCATGTGGGGAACACAGTATTGAGGATGCAGAAGATAACAAGGAAAATGAAAAAAAAATGCCACTAATTAAAGATGTGGAGAGAGAATATATGCCAATCACAATTCAAGAGACTACCGAAACAGTTCAAACAGATTCTGATGACAAAGAGACATTAAAATTAATTGAGGTGACTAATGAGGTTCCATGCCATAATTTGAAAAATATGGAAGAAGAAAACATAGAAGTTCCGCCTAAAAGTGAAAAATCACTAAACAAAAATGAAATTATAGAAAATACTGAAAAGTGTGGTGAAAAGCCTAAACTGCCACAAAATGATCTCAACAGCTATGATGACCACTTTAAGGATGCGGAGTCCTACATTCTAGAAACAGGGCTTAACATCTTAACATCCCGTGAGTTATTTTTTTTTTAAATGTTAAATTTTGTCATACAGTTATATTGTGTATCTATTACTGTGTCAACTACTGTATTGTATTATAATTATTTTTTTGTTAGTATATGTTGTAAAAAACCCATATAAATCTTACAGAGAGTGATGATGTCAAGTATACTGCCCAACCCAACTTAATGGAAGTGTCTTCATACATCAGTGAAACAAGTAAGTAT